TCAGTTAGACTATGTTTTTATCAAAGCTAAAAGCTGTTTTTGTTAATCGTTATTCTGATTGTTATCTATCTTATCCCATAAAAGTTAGGACTCATGTTTTCTGTTAATTTTTACGAAATATTGGTAAATTTTGAATTGTTTTTTAATCTTTAAATGATAGTAGTCAATTACTAACTCCGCATATGTAACAAATACAATGTGAAAGAGAAAGAACACTTTCTTAATAATTTAATTGTTCCTCTTGAAGACTGATTGATTGTTTGATTGTATAATCTCAATAACGACTTAATATTTTATGTACCAAAGAATGGTAATTAAAGTTAATTTTGTATAATAGCAATTGTTTTATTCATAAAAAATAAACTTAACTAGAATTAATAAAAAGTTTATTCTAAACTAAACCTTATTTTAAGGGAATACGTATGTAACTCCTACAGTCTATAAGTCACGATGTATGTCATTGTCTTAAAAACTGTGTGATATACATTAAATATTAATAAATAAATCGCGATATACGTTACGCTGTGTTGTATACGCTGTGAGTTACGTTATGGCTGTTACTATTTATTTCAAAAAATCTTAACGTAACGTGAAATAAAAATAAAAAAATTAACGTAACCACCATGCCATCTGCGAAACTATACTAGTAGGCTTCTTATGGTTTCTTTCAGGTAGCAGATGTCAGAATTTTCATAAAAATGCTCCAAACCGCATTGCGATAGGATAAATACGCAAAAAGTTTCAACTCTTTTTGTGAATTGTAATTTAGTTTTTTGCCTCTCCTGTAAAGTCGCTTTTTGGCGGTTACATTAATTGATATTACAACTGACGATATCCTACTAATAATTATTATCTTCAAAATATACTAATCTCTTATATACTAACATAAATACTAATACAGTGTCTGCAAGGTAGTAAAAACATAAATGTAACGTTCATTTTAGTGATACGTACTTTCGTATTTTTTTTTATTTTCAGAAGTAAGCAGACTGAATTTATAGATGGAAGTAATAGTGATAACGTTGTTGAAGACAGTGACACACTTCCAAAAATAGTTTGTAGCACAAGTCGACGCAACATTGCATTATACAGTACTGTTGATAGTAATCCCAATGATACTGCTACTAATACATCAATCATTTCATACATGCCGGAAAATTACGAGATTTTAAATAATGCCACCAATAATCAGAAACCCGAAACCCGAAATCAGAAAGAATCTAGACAAATGAAAATCAACCCGAGCAAAGAAAATAAGTGTCCAAGACGATGTTATGAAATAACTGAGGAAAGACGTCAATCCATATTTTATTTTTTTTGGAGTCTCGACAACCAAAGAAAAAAGGAGTGGATAATGCAATGTGCTTGTTATATTACAATAAAACGAAAACGTACTGAATCTCCTCTAAGTAGAAGGGACAAAACCATTGAGTACTACATTAACGAAGGAGAGGGTAGAAGACAGGTATGTCAACAATTTATTAAAAATACTCTAGATATTTCCCAAACATATCTGTTGTACAATCTTTCTAATTCTATAGAGGGTATATCACAGAAAGACAAGCGAACTCGTCATGCTGATAATAAATACAATGAAAATACCTACAATTTTGCTAAGAAATACATAGAAGATTTGCCAGTACTACCATCGCATTATAACCGACAAAACTCAAGCAAACTCTATTTATCTCAAGATTTAAAAGTGTGACTAATCTTTACCGTCTTTATGTAAAATATTGCGAAGACAATTCACATGACTGTCTTAGTGAACGTCTTTTCCCTAATTTGTTTATGCAGTACAATATAACGTTTCATATACCAAAAAAAGATAAATGCAAAGTTTGCATTAAACACGAAAACAACATGAATGTTATGAATGAAAAGGAGACGTATGAATACAAAAATCATCTAGAAGAAAAAAAGGCATGCTATAAACGAAGTGAAATACATCGGAAGTGGTAGGCAAGGACAACTCCAGTGTGATAGCTAGTTTTGATCTCCAGAAAGTCCTTAATACCCCACATGGCCAGAGTATGCTGCTTTACTACTCCAGAAAGTATGCAGTTTACAATTTGACTGTGTATGAGTCCAAAACTCAAAATGGATTCTGTTACACCTGGGGAGAATGCGATAGAAAAAGGGGTAGTTGCGAAATAGGAACATGCTTATACAAATACCTCCTCGACATTGACAAAAGAGGAGCAAAATATGTAATTTTCTATTGTGATTCCTAATGTGGTCAAAATAAAAACAAAGTTATACTGAGATACGGGCGTGTTTAAATATTTCCTGGAATATTCAAATAATGTTCAAGTGGTACAAATCAACTATCTTTTGCCTGGACACAGCTATATGCCAGTAGATTCTATGCATAAAGTCATCGAACGAGAGGTACGGAAACTCATTGTGTGGAGTCCTGCACAATGGCCAATTTTTATGCTTGCAGCACGAAAAACACCGCGTCCTTATATTGTAATTACCTTGGACCACACTGATTTTATGAATTGGCAGATTATTGCCGAACAGATTTTCACGCCTAAAACGACATCCAACCCAAACTTTAGAATGAAGGATGTTAGAATCGCTACAATTAAAAAAAACAAATTTAAATGAAATGGAAGTTACATATACAATGAAAGAGGACGATGACATTTTCAATATTCCATTGAGTCAAGGAATGAAAACTGTAACAGGGAAGGCAAAGGGAACAAAAAAAGGAATAGGAAAAGGAAATAGCAATAAAGTCTGTGATCAAACCCGACTTTTGCAAAAACTTTATGCACAGCGATTGCCAATTTCTAAAAAAAAAAATATATGGACCTTATAAAACTCTGCGATGATGAGGTTATACATAAGCAGTATAAATATGAGTACTTACATCTGCCTTTTATAGAAAAAATGACTATTTGGATGACATTATTCAACAAGGGGATGATCTTACAAGTGAAAATGAAACCGAAGAACAAAGCGGAACAAAAACACAAAGTGATTACGATACAAAATTGAACGTACAGTCTTATGCAAACGAGGCAGAAAATATAGAAAAAATATAGAAAAAGCGGTGAAAGAGAGTTTAGGAAAAGCTGGGAAAAGAAAAATAAAAAGGAAAACATAATAATCGGAAAGGGAAAGCTAACAGCAAAGGATTTTAGTCACGTTTTAGTATGTTTCATCCACAAACCGTTAGATTATATTAGATAAGAATGATGTTTATATTAAGGATTTGATTTGGTTTTTGTAAAGTTTTGATTCCGTAGCTATTAATCAAACTGTTTTAGATTTTCTTTCTACACACATTAATTCAAAGTAAAATTTCTACTTTGCTTCTAATAATTTAAGAAATATCCAACGAGTATGTCGTTGTTAGCTTCTCAGTTAGACTATGTTTTTATCAAAGCTAAAAGCTGTTTTTGTTAATCGTTATTCTGATTGTTATCTATCTTATCCCATAAAAGTTAGGACTCATGTTTTCTGTTAATTTTTACGAAATATTGGTAAATTTTGAATTGTTTTTTAATCTTTAAATGATAGTAGTCAATTACTAACTCCGCATATGTAACAAATACAATGTGAAAGAGAAAGAACACTTTCTTAATAATTTAATTGTTCCTCTTGAAGACTGATTGATTGTTTGATTGTATAATCTCAATAACGACTTAATATTTTATGTACCAAAGAATGGTAATTAAAGTTAATTTTGTATAATAGCAATTGTTTTATTCATAAAAAATAAACTTAACTAGAATTAATAAAAAGTTTATTCTAAACTAAACCTTATTTTAAGGGAATACGTATGTAACTCCTACAGTCTATAAGTCACGATGTATGTCATTGTCTTAAAAACTGTGTGATATACATTAAATATTAATAAATAAATCGCGATATACGTTACGCTGTGTTGTATACGCTGTGAGTTACGTTATGGCTGTTACTATTTATTTCAAAAAATCTTAACGTAACGCGAAATAAAAAATAAAAAAATTAACGTAACCACCATGCCATCTGCGAAACTATACTAGTAGGCTTCTTATGGTTTCTTTCAGGTAGCAGATGTCAGAATTTTCATAAAAATGCTCCAAACCGCATTGCGATAGGATAAATACGCAAAAAGTTTCAACTCTTTTTGTGAATTGTAATTTAGTTTTTTGCCTCTCCTGTAAAGTCGCTTTTTGGCGGTTACATTAATTGATATTACAACTGACGATATGCTTTGTGACCTTTACAAATGAACTTTACGTTACGCTTTTATAGGTAAGGGTGTTCTAAAATTCTTTGTTTTGGAAAATTTAATAACTGTGTAAATATTGATGTTTAAAGAATTTAAATGTTTAATAGTGTTATGTATGTTGAATTTAAATGTTTAAAAGTTATCCCCTATATGTGTGTTCATTTATTGTCGCGATGGTAACGACACGCTGTATAAGTATGTCATAATGTAATGTACACGTGAGCAGTGACAGTTAGACGATTTAACAGTACGTCAAACTTGTTGCGAGATGAGGTGACAGTTAGTTTAGTTTTAGAATAGACTAAGAATAGACAATTAGTTTTAGAATAGACGAATACGCCGCTAACACTTTCAGATATGATTTAAACATTGAATATCCGGTACACTGGCCTCTTTAACAAGCGGCAAAAGTCATAGGAAAAGAAAGCGAATGCGTAGAAAGTGAAGCAATTACTTACAATAAAAGCACCCGCTTTATCATTCGCATTTGCAAGCTTATTTTCGTCATTAACGATAAAATTCAAAATCACAACGTAACTAAATTATACTTTACTCCGATAGAATACGTGCTCTTTGCGTCTGGTACAATCAACTGATGTTAATGCATGAAATGATACCCATTACCTATATTACGAGAACATTCTACTGGGTTAGACGAAATGAAATTATTCAACTTCTCAATTATTGTTTTGAATTTCTTTACAGCGTTGTTTTAGGAGCTTTATTATTCTCAGCAACAACTTTTACTGCTCAGTCCGAACTAAACAAGTTTATGCTGCTTAACACTATTGATGATTGGTCCCCGATTGTAGGAGATTATTACGTTAGTTTTTGTACGAAGTAGGTTTTATATCCGTAACATTAATCAGTGCTAGTATGAGACGGTATCGAAGAATGCAACCGGTCCACTTAGCTTTATAAAGCCTGCTATTACGACCCCATTGTTCTCAGTAACCATGGTCGCCCTAACTCTCGCCGGATTGCCCGAATCAATTTAAATAGCTCTCCTTGTGTGTTGGCTCGCTCTAGTTCTTGCTCAGGTTTCACTTCTGAATTGTCGCAAAAGCCATCCTCTAGTCTACGATTAGCTTCTGTAGCTTGTTAGTAAACGCAGGTGGAATTAGATTGCAATTTCGCGTATTCTCCATTTGAATTAACATTTCACACACTACTCGTGTTATTTAATAACTAATTTTATTAATCTTTTCACTTTGTTAGTGGGTATCTGTTGTAAGGTATCTGACAGTTAAGGATAAGTAGACAAAAAAGACGGTCCATATGAATTACGTTGTAGTCCATCAATTTAATTCATTATTCATTTTATGAACAGGGAAAATTTGAGATGATAGTGATTGAATTTTTTAAATTAAGGTTGTAAATGCGTTGCCAACCGTTGAAAGCAGTAGGGTGATCGGGTGTTTACTCACCAGATGAAACGCTAAAGTATAATACTTCTACTTTACGTTAGTCTTCAGTGAGGTTATGGTGGTCTGTTGGCCCTACCAGAGAACATAAATTTCGCCAACGGCGGTAAATGCACTTTATGAAAAGTTGCAACGCAGTGGTTTGTGGGCGACGATATGGGTATATTTTGGGAAATAAACGTTTTAAAGCTATTTTTGAGGCTCAATAAGAGCTTAAAGCAAGCCTATAATGAATAAAGAAATTCTTTGAATGACTTAGGCCTGTTTAGCCACGTCTGGGGCACGAATACCGTTATTGATGACTGAGTTGTTAACCTCGACGGCCCGTAGGCGACATGCCATAATTAAAGTACGCATGAGTATATGCGCGGCCCTACCCACTGAGGAGGGCCTCAAACCCGTGGGTTCTGGCTAGCCCACCGGTTCTGCGTTCGATGAAGCATTAATAGCCTAAGGATTGAAAGCGTAACATCAGTTATACAAATGAGTTGTTGAAATAGTTGTACCGAACGCGTTTTTCCAACTACAGGCGCTGGCGGCGACGCTGAGCTGCGTTGTTTCGCAGCAAACGGCGGCGGTGGCGCCCACCACAGAGGACAGCGAGGAACCTCCAGAAGGCTACTACGCCTTCGTGGAGTCACCGAACGCCACACCTCCGAGGTGAGCCAGATACAAGTTCTCCTTGTCTGCGATGAAACAGCGAGTCTTATACACAACATTATCTTATGACTTTAATTTAGCAATTCTTTCTTGTCTGCGTAATGCTCGTTTCGGAAACGGAATATATTATATACTTTCCACCTTCTTAAATAAAAAAAGGCCGTTGTATTTTTCACTATGGCAAGGGTTGACTGGTAGAGCATGCCATTAGGCATTTAGTCCGCCCATGGACCATTTAGCCTAAGGTTAAATAAATATTGAACGTCTAGTCCCAAAAAAAGCAATGCACACCCTCCGGCGCAGGAGGCAGAGAGTCGCCAATAAATGGATAAATTGGGCATCAGGGTGCGCGGTCCGCCGTACCGGCAGGGGTCGGCGCCGTGCCCGGGGCGGGGCGCGGGCCGGCCCCACGTGAGCGCGCACAACCTCTGCGGCGACCTCAACCGCGGCCTCATCCCCAGGAACCCGCTGGGGCAGACGCCCGACGGCCAGCCCTACCCCTTGTGAGTACCCCGCCGCCCTTCTACCGATATCAAAATCCAAGGTCCAATGCAAATGGTTTTCAGTTCTCAGTTCCTCTCGTATCTATTATAAACGGCTGAGCTCTCAGAGAACAAACATAAGAGAAATACAATCGAATTAAGGACCTCCTCCGTGTTTACAATGTGGTAAAGCTATGGGCTGAGTCAAAATTAGTTTTCGCCGCTGCGAGTATTTGAACCTGCACACTCAATATGAGCCCGACATTCTAAACAGGTAACTATTTTTCCAAGATGTTTGATATAAACAATGTTGTATATGTAAAAGAATTAATACTTCAAAAAAAGAGACTAAAAAATAATTTCTTAATAGACAGAGAAGGGCTTAAAACAAATTAACTTAGAATTAATTAATCATGTGATATTAAGTAGTGAGTTCTCTTAAGGCATTAACTGGGGCTCTGCACCGCCTTGGCATGCTGAATATTAAATTAAATATGGGACCGCGCATCGGCGATGCTTTGCAGCGAGTTGATCCGCAACGAGACGCTGCGGTTCCTCTCGCGCACGCTGCCCGTGCTGCGCGCGGACGACGCGCTGCCACGCGTGGCGCACGTGGCCAACGCGGCGGCCGTGGCAGGCGTGGCAGGCGTGGCAGGCGCGGCCGGCCACCACACGCGGTACGACCTGCCACGCGTGCCCGACTTCGCCGGCAACAGGTGCGTCTGCTGCGTGGCCTTACATTCTTTTTGGGTTTTTGTTTCAGGGTATTTAGTTAATGTGAAGCAAATCATACATAAATGTCGATAACTTATCCTATCGGTAGGGGTTATATAAAAGGAGGGTTTCATAATTTTTTTTAAACTTTTCGTGTATTCAAAAGGAAAAAAAACAAATATATGCCAGTACTTTTTTTTAAAAGAAGAAAAAAAAGAAAGAAAATACATTTTATTAACGGTTTCATTAATTCGGAATTATAGGTAAAAAGTTCAAAAAGTTGTTATTGTTCCATGAAGTTGGTGCCGCTTTTAGCTGTCGCGCATCGTTTAAGTTCACAATTATTATTCTTCCCAAACGTGTCAAAAGGGGTTTAACTCTAAAAAAAAAAGTGACAACATCCACAGATACAAAAAATTCAACTGTATGCAATACACGTTCGTGCCCGTCTTTGTCAGGCTGGAGGAGCGCGCGAAGCGCAGCGCCGCCCTCGAGGGGGAGGTGGAGGGGGAGGTGGAGGGCGAGGGGGATGGGGAGTCCCCTCAGCCGGCGATGCAGCACCGGGCGGCGGAGTCGGCGGAGGCGCCGCGCGAGAGCCGCAAGTTCTGCGACGGCGGCGGCGTGTGAGTATACCCACGCACACAGGCATACACAATTACACACACACTTTCATATACACACCTACATACCCAACGGCCATAATCATCATCATCATAATCAGCCGCAAGATCACCCTTAGAACGCCACAACGAAGGGAACTTTGCCATTTGCATCCACCGGTTGCCGGTGACTCTTACGATGTCGTTCCAACTAGAGGGAGGCCTTGTATACATAACCCACTGCTGGGCAAAGGCAGAGGATAATAGTGCATAGTCCGCCGCGCGACCCACTGCGGATTGGAGGACTTCACACGGTGTCAAAATATATTTTTTGTTGCTATTGTTTCAAAAATATACAGGTTTCCTTATGATAGTGCCTTCAACGTTGAGCACGTGATAAGTCAATGCTTAATATTAACAATTTCATCGAACTCTAGTTGCTCGAGTATTTTGAATTAAAAGCTAGCACCGCACGCTGGGCTATCACGGCACGGACAACCTTACAGTTATCTTTTTGTATTCCTATCACTTAATAATTCACAACATCATAATTATCATCATAATTTATCAGAAAACCTTAAAGTATTTAATCAAAATGTCAGAGGTCTTAAAACTAAAACTGATACTGTATTAATGAATGCACATAAACAAGACGCTGACATCATATTACTAACAGAAACATGGCTTAACAAATCTGTTTACGACCACGAAAGTTTGGATAGCAGATACGCAATATTTAGGCGTGACCGTGCGTCTACTAGCAGTGACAAGCGAGAAGGTGGAGGAGTCCTTGTAGCAGTCTTACGAAAACATTTACCTAATCGCAAGGCAAAGTGGGAAACAATTGATGAAGATCTCTGGGTAACTCTTAAAATTAGACATGGTACTTCAACAAAAAATTTATGCATTTGTACACTTTATAACCCTCCTCCACTTTCTTACGATCGCCTTGACCGTATCATGACAAACTTAACGCTTGTTGTCCAACATAAAATGCCCCTAAATTCGATACTCCTGGTAGCGGGTTACTTTAACCTACCAAACTTGGTCTGGCAGCCAGATACAAACACACGTTGCCTTACATCAAGCAACGTACAGACGCCTGCGGAAAGTATATTTGTTGATACCCTTTCCTTTAATAATCTACTTCAGATCAATCCAATACGCAACATCAATGGACGTACACTTGACTTACTTATTACTAACACCAGCAATATGTTTTCTGTAAAAGCAAGCTCTACCTCCCTCGTAAACATGGACAGTCATCATCCTGCGCTCAGTGTAATAATTAAGGCACAAAGAAACAAAAGAGTTAAATCCACTAGATTGTGTTATCCAAATTTCTCGAAAGCCGATTATCCAAATATTAGTAAGGAACTAGAATCAGTAGACTGGAATGAAAACTTTAAGGATACTGAAATTTTAGACGAGATTGTCGACACATTTTACCGTATTATTAATCCAATAATTTTAAGGTATACACCACTCACGACAAAACACGACAATAACTACCCTTGTTGGTTCAGTCGTCCTTTAATTCGCACCCTTAGAGAAAAATGCAAATTTCACAACCGATTCAAAAAATACGGCAATCCAAGAGATTACATTACATTTAAAATGCTTCGTATTCGTTGTAACAAAATGATAACAGACTGTCTCTCCCATTTCAAGTCCAATGCCAAAACGCACATTAAAAAGAACCCAAAATATTTTTGGACATTCATCAAGTCATTTAGAACCAGCAGTAATGATATTCCGCATGAAATGTTTCTGGGCAACCAGAAAGTATATGGAGGGCAACAGATCAGCGACTTATTTTCAGACTATTTCTGTTCCATATATAATAGTAATCGTGTCACAACCTCACAAATAAGTCCCAATAATTATCACCTCTCTATTAGCTCGTGCGTTTTCTCGAAATCAGATGTCTTAAAAACCCTAAGACAAATTGACACTAACAAAGGACCTGGTCCAGATGCCCTACCACCTGTTCTTTTCAAGACATGTGCAACCCAACTAGTAACGCCGCTACATTTCATATTTAATAAGTCTCTCGAAATAGGTAAGTTTCCCACGCAGTGGAAAACAGCCCACATTATACCCATACATAAAAGTGGTGACAGGTCAGATATAGCCAATTACAGACCAATCTCCATTCTATGTACCATAGGGAAACTATTTGAGTCGATGGTCCAGAAAATTCTTGTTTTTCATTTAAAGCCGGTTATCAATTCTCAACAACACGGGTTTCTTCCAGGCAGATCAACCACATCGAATCTCCTAGGGTTTGTCACCGATACAATTGATGCAATTGAAAATAAAAATGAAGTTCACGCAGTATACACAGACTTCTCCAAGGCTTTCGATGTGGTGAATCATTGTCTCCTTATCCAAAAACTTTGTCACGCTGGCATATGTGGCTCTTTACTTAGGTGGTGCGAATCTTACCTGCAAAATCGCTCGCAACTGGTCTCTGTTCGTGGATTTAAGTCCCTACCTAAGAAAGTTCCCTCGGGCGTGCCTCAAGGGTCGCATCTTGGGCCTCTCTTCTTTCTCGTATTTATAAACGACCTATGTTCCACAATAAATTCCAGCTTCAAATTGTTCGCTGACGATTTAAAGATATACCGAACAGTAAAATCGATCGAAGATATAAAAACCCTACAAAATGACCTCGAATCTATTAATACATGGTGCCTTAGAAATAATATGGTTCTTAATGCCTCAAAATGTTGTCATATCAAATTCACCCGTAAACGCGACCCATGCAACGCAACATATGCAATAAACAACATTCCATTAAAAGAGGTCAAGAGTACACGTGACTTAGGAGTTATTGTGGATCAAAAGTTAGATTTTCGCGAGCATATAGACCACATTACTAAGAAGGGGGCGAAACTAGCAGGCTTTGTGATAAGGCAAACAAAAACATTTAAGGACCCAGAAATTCCTATTACCCTCTTCAACTGCTACGTCCGATCCTTACTGGAGTACTGCAGTCCTATATGGAGCCCATCTTATGGAATTCACATTGAAAGAATTGAAAGGATTCAAAAACAGTTCTTGTACCATCTGACTTACGCTAGCAATCGCTGCCTAACATTGAAGTCTTACAACTCTCGTCTGCAACATTATAAAATGAACTCACTTGCTGGTAGACGCGAAGTAGCTGACATTGTATTACTGTACAGAATATTGCATGGTAAAATAGAAAGTCCCGATCTTCTCGAGAAATTAAATCTCAGTCTGCCACGACATGGTGTCCGTTTGCAGAGGCGAAATGTGTTTGCGCTGCCATTCCGACGCACCCGTTACGGTCAGCACTCTCCTTTGTACCGGCTGTGCTATATGCCAGGATTTCGACATATTTAGTGTACGGTGTAGTAACATTAAAAAATATATAAGGGCTAAGCTATAATTTAAAATTTATTTCAATAGTTTTTTATTATTCGTAATTTTAAGTTAAGTTTAAATGTTGTTTTATCTAATATTTTTAATTTAGCTTTAGTTTCTTTTGTTTTTCATTTTCATTTTGTTTGAAGTTATTTTTTTTCTTTCATTGTACAATTATTTATTGTTGAGAGTGTTTTTTGTGCATGTTGTGTTCGCTCATAGAAGAACATTCACTTGTGTGTTAAGTTCCGTATCAACTTTTTCTGTGTTCATTATTCTGTAATGTGAGTGTGATGTTCGGTTTGCGATCCTAAATAAATAAAAAAAAAAAAAAAACAATAAATGACAATAATCTTTCTATGCTATCACCTGATATTTTAAAGAAAAAATAACAAGAGTTAATTTTTAAATGCGATTTTTATTTTATAGACAAACATAAATAACTTTAAAATTATACTATAACAAATGTTTTTGAATCAGTTTAACGTTTCTATTAAAAATTCACATCAAACTTTGAATAAAGTTAACATACTGAAAACTTAATAAAACCGTTTAAAAACTTTTAAGTTAAACGGTTTTATTTTATGCACTGAAAACTATAATATTGTATTGTCATCTAAATTAAATGTGTGTACCAAATTTCAGATCAATCTGACAACGGGAAGGTGCTTAAATTTCAATTTCTAATTTTGAACCAAACAAATAAATTCCATACAGGTCGAGCTTTTTTTCTTTAACTGTAAAACACCTACGATTCGACGAGAAAGTTTTGCTACTGCAAAAACATTATTAAAATAGTTAGTTTTCAAGAATAATAATATTTAGAATATCTCTTGCAAATTGATTTTTACTAAGCTCTAGTAAGGCAGCTTATTGTAGGTGTAAATTTAAAACTATTGAAAGAGGAAGATTGTGGTCAAAGATTCATCAACTGACACACTATAAATTAAAGTACAATTTTCTACGCTAATTGAAAAATAAATTTTAAAGTCACCAAATATATAATTTATAAACTTATTCTAATAAAAAAAGTATTTAAAGGTGGCTGTAGTGGGGCTGTGTTGAGTTGGTAGTGGGTCTATGTTGAGTCAGTGGTGAAGCAGTGGAGAGTCAGCGGTGTAGCAGTGGAGAGTCAGTGGTGGGGTTATGTTGAGTCAGCGGTGAAGCAGTGGAGAGTCAGTGGTGGGGATATGTTGAGTCAGCGGTGAAGCAGTGGAGAGTCAGTGGTGGGGCTACGTTGAGTCAGCGGTGAAGCAGTGGAGAGTCAGTGGTGGGGCTACGTTGAGTCAGCGGTGAAGCAGTGGAGAGTCAGTGGTGGGGCTACGTTGAGTCAGCGGTGAAGCAGTGGAGAGTCAGCGGTGAAGCAGTGGAGAGTCAGTGGTGGAGCTGTGGTGGGGCAGTAGTGGGGCTGTGGTGAGTCAGTGGTGCGAGGCGTCTAAGATCACTCAGGACCAGCTGTAAGGCGTCGTGGCGCGTTCCATCCACGATGCTCACCCGCTTGTCTCGCTCGATCTGTGACCAACAAGCCATCATGAGTTTTATGGAAAGGGTTGCGTACTAAGTCCCAACGACCACAGAGACCAAGGAGATTTGTCGTAGTCTTCCCTTTGAAAACATTATCCCCTTACTGTAGGATAGCATTATCCTGTGTTGTTTTTTGGATGTTTTTACATACATTAAATTTCATGTGGACAAACAACCTTGTCCAAGACAATTATCTGTGGGTAACACGGTTATGGTTGTGCCGTGTGGGAATCAAACCAAGTTAAAAATTAAACCATCATAGTGGGTAGTGTACCTGCCTCCTGCGCCAGAGGGTGTGGGTTCGATCTCCACTACTGGAAAAATATTGTGTGATGAACATAGTGTTTTTCTAGTGTCTGGGTGTTTATATATGTATAATATGTATTTATTTACAAAAAAAAGTATGTTTAAGTATTTTTATCAGTTGTCTAGTACCCATAGTACAAGCGTTGCTTAGTTTGGGACTAGAGAATGTTGTGTAAAAATTTGTCCTAAATAAAAAAAATTCAAATAAACTAGGTTAGTTATATAGTATTGCGACTTAGATTAACAACATATCAAAATTGTAGACTTCGTGGCGCAGTTGCCAAGGTATTGGCTTCGGCGTAGGGGCTCGGGAGTTCGATACCCACACGAGAAAACTATTTGTGTGACCCACAGATAGTTGTTTCGCATCTGGGTGTTTGTCCGCGTCAAACTTATGTTTGTAAAACGTCCTTATCATCGAAATAAAAAATATAAGAAATATTTCTTCTGACTACAGTAATTTTTTAAATCCACCACCGTTACGTAATGAGGTATTTAAAAAAAATACATATAATCACACATATGTGCGAGGCTATCGCAAGCCCTTTATAAATATACAAGGATTTGTTTATTACATATGTATATTATGATGTATATATCACCTCCGCTTTATACTTGAGGTGCTCGGGCCAAACGCACTGGTCAAAGTAGCCGTCGATGTCGGGGGGGTCGTAAAGCCGGTATGACCTCCGAGACACGCACTCCTCATACTCCAAAACAAAGTAGTACCTGAAAGCAGTAGACAATTTAAATTACACTCTTTGTTTATAGCTTTTTTTATGATAATAAGTTATTTTAGGAATGTTAACCAGGTTCAGTATGAAAATTAAAAAGAGATTTAGAGAAACTTTTTTTGAACATCCACACACCTGAATACAGTATGATAGAGGCCATATTTCATATAGAAAAGCATTTATATTTAGATCACAGTAAAAGTTTAACAGTTGTAATTACAATAGTAAAATACGTGTGTGTACTTGGTTTTTTTACAATTACAAGGGCCAGTAAAGCCTAGACATTTACATATATCATACAGTTTGGATTACCAAATAATGTTCATGAATGGTATCGTAGTTTTCATTTATTTTTGACAATACTGTAATAGTTTAATTATTAAACCCATTACTAAAATATATAGAAAATAACAAAATGTTGCCATACCTTAAATTGCAAATGCTTGATATGGGTTCATAATTTAGCACTGTAAATCCTTCAACGATAATAAAACTCTTGTCTTCTACTACAAGTCTTCCTTCTTCCCTTTGTTTAAACGAGGCATGAGACTTGTCCTCTCCTTTGATTGTTGCTATTATATCTCTGTACATTCCATCCATGTCCAAGGATGTGAGTATGTCATAGTTGTTATGCTCTAGTCCCTTGCATTTCACATGATGAGGACTGTCATCTGGGTAGAAGTATTTATCCTGATGGAAAACATAAACAGGGGCCAGTCTATCCTTCAATTGATTCGCTAAAGTCGTCTTTCCACCACATGTTACTCCTGACACGCCTATGATTATCCACTTGTCCGAGTGGTCTTTTATCATTGTGCTTCCAGTTTTATAAAGAACCCTTGGTGATGTCAGAGGTAGGGATAAATATGGTAAAGTGTGAATGACATTAATCCGCCGATGAAGAACAAGCCCCAAATTGCGCAGAACAAAAGTGCCCACTTTGGATCAGGAATGTATCGATATAATGTCAAATCTGAAAAGTTTGCAATCACATATTGTAAATCAAACAATTATTTTTTAAATAGCACAAAAACATTTATTTTTACGCAAATAGACCTGCCTATTCATGCAACTGCTAAAGCCAAAGCCAGCTGTTGCGTGGCCCTACCACAAAAACACACAAAAAGCCTTATTGTATATCAATTATTATTTATATTGGTGTAATATTGATTGAGACAATTACCTTAATTGTCACAATCAATATACATATACACTCACACAAAATATTTTTCTTCAAGGGCTCATCAAATTACTAAATTTATGGGAATTTCGTTCTTTTTAGTTAAAAATATGTTTTACTCAAGTAGTTCTGGCAGACTTCACATATTTTTCGAAATATTTTTTTTTTATTATTACAAGTTTCCTCACAATGTTTGCCTTCTCCACCGAGCCCGTGATAATTAATATATATTAACAAATACATAATCATATAAGAATAAAAACATTTGTAATATTTTACCTGTATCAATAAATGGATAAGTGTTGATCCAAAATACTAATATTACAAACACAGTTCCAGTAGATACAAGTATCAGTTTTCCCAAAACTGCATCAGGTATGTCCATATATACATTTCCAATTATATAGTGGCTATACAATACAAAAATTAACTACAAAAGTATTCTTTCTCAAAGCTTTTGTAAGACTCCTCTGGAAACAGAATGGATTTGGTCTCTTCAGTTTTGATTTCAATTTTGTCTGCTAAAGGTTTGCGTTTTATAGCCCTTTCCACAATCTGTGAAAATGTAAAAATTGTATAATTTTTATTAAATGTTGAAAACACAATATAGGTGAAATAAATGTAATAAATATATTATGGTAATGATGTTATTAAAATAAAAATACTCTGTATATATTTTATATTGATACGGACCAATTTTATATTCCATAATTGTATTTCATTCAAGATATTTTCATCAAAAACACAAATGTTATTTAGACATTGAGGTTGAAGCAGTAGAACCAAAGTATTTAGACATTGAGGTTAAAGCAGTAGAACCAAAGTATTACTAGTAACCTATTTGCGGGTTATTAACCCATAGTCTCAGTAATAATATTTTCACGCTTTGCCATAAAATCCTACATTGATTATATTTTATGTCTTCAACTTTACAATAATTATATAACAGCTGTGCAAAATGAAAAAATATTACCTCTTTTTAGTTATTTTAAAGCACTTGTAAATTCACTTTGTATAACTATTGAAAGATGTCTTTTAAAATAATGTAAGAAATACACATATTCTGCTTATCTTATCATGAGACAAGGACTAATAACATGGCAATAATTTGGTAATAACTAGTAAATAACATGTGGTTATAAAACTTGGTAGATAACTTATACCCTACATACATATTTGTCCTATATTATGTTTAGGTTTAAAATGTAAGGCCAATTCAACTTACTGTTTCCCCAATACTGTTTGGGGAATATACGGATTATGAAAATAGCAACAATCACTAATTACAAGAGTTGAAAAGTCTGTGGTTGTCTAGCCTGAGTCATAACCAACTTCAATGTCAACTTCCAATTAACTTATGTTAGTCCAACATACAGGAAAGCATGTGGCATTGGTGTAAAAGCAATTTTTAATACATAGCCATCACCATCATCACCATCATCATTTTAGCCTATTAGAGTCCACTGCTGCATATAGGGCTCCTCCACAGATCAATTTAAGTTCATTTATTTTTTTTCCATTGCCCTTACTTTAGGATAAAATTATCCTGTGTTGTTAGGATGTTTTACATACATAAATTTCACATGTACAAACACCCAGATGTAAAAACTATCTGTGGGTCACACAAATAGTTGTCCCGTGTAGGAATCAAACTACGATTCGACGCCGAAGCCAATACCTTGATGACTATGCCATGGAGTCATCAAAGAATCATCAGATTAAGAGTAAGACACCACATCTCATCCCATGGTTGTCATAAGACGCAACTAAGGGATATGCCACAAACAGCTGATGACTTCCAATAACAATCCTGTAGATCTTAAACACTCAAGCCAATGACGGGCAGCAGTGTGTAATGCATGTGAGAGGTCTGGGAAACCAAAATTGTCAATCTGCTCACCAACTATGGCAAAATCCTCCCTAAACATGGATAAGCCGTAACATTTACCGGTCAAATTTTGAATAGCATTCTGTAGGTTGAATAAGAACTAGATATACTTGATTTAAAATATGAGTAGATATTTCTAAAGGAAATGTAACTTACCTTTTCTGCTACTTTATTATTTGCAACAGGTTCTGACAAAGCCAGCAATTTTTTTATAGCTTCTTCAGAAATTTCTTCTTCCGACTTTTGTATTTGCTTAGGAGTTTTGTTGGGTTTATATTTGTATGGATGAAGAAAATCTAGCAACAATGACGATTAAACTATTAATTTCTATATATACTTGCGTTTCTGGCATATGAACATAAATTTTAAATATTATGAGTTCAGTCGGTCTAGGTTCTGCTGATTGTACTGATAAATAAATGCGTTTTAAAAGTCATAACAAACACAGTAAAGGTCTTCAAAACGAGACATTCTGTGTGGTTAGGTTGTGATGTAAAAAAAGTTCCAAAAACATTAAAAAAGAACATATAGTTTACCTTGACCTTTATACTGTTGACGTTTAGGCGCCTTGCCTTTACGCTTCTTCGGCCCACTCTCTGAAACATAATCGTTTAATATAATCACGTTAGCCGTTACATATTATACCTCTTTATGTATAATAATCCACAAACCTTCTCCGTCCACAAATGCAAGTGCTTGTCGTACTAGAGATGAAGACATTTTAATACCACGAATTGGTAGAAATCATTTATGGATAAATTTTCGTGACTTTGTTCATTTCTAACCTAAAATTATAAACATTTACAAATGGACAAACGTTAGTATTATTATCAATGTCAAATCTGTCAAATCAGCACCAAATGCCAATCGATTGATAGATGTCACAGCATAGATAATACATATCTGGATACTAATGTTCACCAATGTCAGAAAGTTTTTGCAGTAACAACAGTCGTGAACAGAGTCATCACAGATTTTTAAAATGTAGTCGGATTTTAAAAAAAAGTATTATTAACATACAACATAAATTAATAAAAATTCAAGTATTCGGACAATAGACTGTCAGAATTTAATCGATGTATGATAAAATGAAGTCGTAAGTCTTTTAACTACAACGGGGATATACTTAACACGTTACGGCTAATTTATTCAAACTCAAATGTGGCACGCTGTAAGCACATTTTGAGCACATGTAACGGTAATTTCTCAATAATTGAGAACTGAGAGTGGAAGTAAACATGCTCTTGGTACGTACAGGCTATGCATGTTGTACCGTGCCATCAATGGAGAGAGCGCAGCTGGGCCAGAGAGGCGTGAAGACCCCGGCGCCCCGCCCGCCGCGCCTCTTCCTCAGCGCTACGAAGTGAGTCCACCTGCCCCATTAACATTTTTTGCTTGGATCTGTTTTTACAACATGGTACTCTCCTTTAGTTTCGACTCCTGATCCACTAATTGTTGCCGATTGTTGTCTTATTGTGATATTCTGTGACAATTTGCAACAGAAATTTAGTTTAAAACTGGACATTTAGAATCATTAGTTGTTCGTCTTGGTGCTGGTTACGAATTTTAATTCATGCTATTCGATTATTTTGAAACATTGCTGCACCAGGGGAGAAATTTGCAAAGCAGGTTTATTTGGAAAAGGTTATTTGAGTCTCTACTGCCTTTAAGCTCTTTCAATCGGACTTTTTATATTATATTTATTATATTTAACTCATATAATGTAAAACAAGGAAACAAAGGAATGAGTGTAATGGTAATCGGGCCCCGGTGAAATGGTCGCAGGGCCCGCCCACGCCGTGCCCGGCCCGCGTGGAGTACGCCACGCCGGTGTTCGCGCGCAACTACCAGGGCGTCTGGCGCTACGTCGTGCAGATCCCCTACGAGGGCTACTTCACGCAGACCGTCGAGGTCACCAGGTGGGAGGAGATGCGCTCAGCGCAGCTCAGATGGACGAATTTGAGCCTAATTGCATTCCTTGCGTGTGCTACTGACTTCAATGTTGACTGTGAACTGTTTATCGTTAATAATGTTTTTTTTTCAAATACGATTTGTGCTGGTCATAAACATTCAGGCACATATTTCAGTGTCGGTTAAAATTTGTTCATTTGCATGAATGTAGACATATGAAATTGCTGATCGTTTTTAATATTTTATATTTTCGTTATATCCGAGTAACGTACACTTTAATTTTCTCGAATCAAATTAATATGACTACTATGTGATTCTCAGAAAATAAGAAAATAACAGATTAGTACGAAAGACCTTTGCGTGTTGATTATAATTTTAATATAATATTATAAAGGATTCATAAAGTAATGTTCATATTTTTAAAATTTTGATAGAAAATACATGTACACGCTTTAAGTATCGAGATATAAAAAATAAACCAAACCTTTTTAAAATAAATTAATGTAGGACGTTGTGATGACGGTTTGATTACTACACTTGGATATGTTTTCCGCATAGATGTATGCAATCGCGCTGCCACTTCCTGGAGGGCGGTTGTTTGAGCTCGCCTCGATGGGTCTCTCTCCTGGTGGCAGAACTGCACCAGCAGCCCAACCCTCACCACACACACGTGAGTTCCTTCAACACGATGATTATACAATCAATTATCTCTTTCTAATAAAAGATTTTTAAAAGATTTTTAAAAGGATTAATTGATCGTGTGATTGTTTCAATTGTGGCAATGTTTTCGAAGGGGAGACACCAAATCTTATAGGTCACAGTAGTCGTTACCACCACACTTTCACACAAAACACCATTACCCACAGGAGGACGCGATGGAGAGCACATCCGAGAAGTCGGTGCACTGCGACACCAACGTGTCCCTCGGCTGCTACCAGGTCAGTCCAGTTATCTTAGCATCTTACAAGTCTCTGTCAGGACCCAATATGGCATTAAACAAGTAAAAGCCTAGTAACGGCAAGTAACGGCCTTCTCTATATTGAGCGTATTAGGGCGTAGTCCACCATGCGATGCTAAAAATTTCTTTTTTGCAGAATTCTTGTTATCGTATCATTTCGAAAACATGCAGGTTTCCTATCGATGTTTTCCTTCACCGCTGAGCATGTGATGAGTCCATATGCACTTAAACCGACACACACAGACAATTGCGTCTGATCTGGGTGTTACAAAGGATCATTTTATCCTACAATAAGGGCTTTCGAAGGGCAGACCGCAGTAGAAGTTCTAAGCAATAGTCGTCGGGTCTTAAACCCTTCGCACAAAATATAATACGCCGCTTACCAGGTGCGGCTGTACTACGACTGGTTCCTCGTGCCCGGCTCGTGCAAGTGCTGGCGCCCAGACTACTTCGCCCGATACGTGCGCAGGCACCACGACGCGCAGCCCGACCTGTGATCGCTAAATATCTTACTAAATAGGGCCCCTCGCTCGAACCACACCTCGAAAACTGCATCACATCATCCTAACTGTCGCGTGTTCTATCAAAATCTCTATAAATAAAAAAACTACTGCAGGGTGGTACCACTCATAGTTCATCAGAACAATATTGTGTTCTAAAACCGTTGTCATTGGAAATTATTGCTTGTTGAAACTTTTTACGGATTTCATCGCGTGTTAATCGCGTGTTTTTGTGTGAGATATTACTATGTATACTTAAATGATCAAAAATTTATAGTGGTCTTTCGAACCGGATATTTAACCGAATTGTTATACATAATTGTTTTCCTCATTATTAGTAAAGTGAAATTATTATCGAAAATCTGTATAAGTATTAAGTACAACCGATATACAGCAGAATATATTAATTAAAAGATTTGTTTTCTTAAATTTAAACTTTGTTAAGAATCAATATATTCAAGAAACGGAACGTGTGTCTGTTTTAAAATGGTCCAAAACTTCACCAGTATCAATCCTAGGCAGCGAGTTTAACAATGCTGTGAAATATATTGATTTTTAACGAAAAACCTGTATTACTAACAAAAAATTTTAGAGGGAGTGTGAACGGCATTGAAATCGAATTTCTAGAGTATTACGATGTAGGAAAAGGCAAGTAAAAACAGTATGTATATAAATGCAAAGTATACGTAATAAGGTAAATAAATATGTAACTAAATTGTATAAGTTGGACATGAACTATTTCATTGAATAGAAAAAATTGCAGGATTCATACTATAAGATTTTTGACTCGCAATTATCTTGGCAATCCTAATTAGAATTAAGTTGAATCGTAAAAATTATACAAAACGCACAATACACAATTACGATTAATTTAACATAGTATTTATTAAGTTTAACGAGATAATTGATAATCGTTAGCTGCTTTAATTTTTCTAATGACACATTTGACCTAATTAAAATATTATATTAGCACGCAAATAAAATAAAATAAAATAATTTTCGAAGTTCATTTTAACGACATTTTAGAACGCGCTTGACGAAATTATTAATTTACATCTAGATAAATCCATTTATTTATTTAAGTCTCTGCGTACTACATCTAAGTAATTTTCGGTGCTATTAAAATGTCCATGCTTTGTGTATATTATTAGTTAGGTATATTAATTATATTTGTCGGAGAGCGTAGAGATCTCTTGCTGAAGTAGGAATGTCTACAACATGGCTTCAATAAATGTGTAAGCATTTAATTACTGGCTGTACAGGTCGTGTACGTTTAGTAGAATCCGACTCAATACGCATTTGTAGTTATTAAGTACACTAACTAATTATGTAAATTGTTGTAATTGAGTATATTTTAAGAGTATTAATAAAGCACAACCTATCACCAAAATTGTCGTTTATTACAACTATTTTCTGCCACCCACACCCTTTTTAGTGCTAGTCTCTGCACTGTGGTTGGACCACGTAGCAGTTTTGCTGTTGCACGAATGGCCAGCTCCGTCCGGGGAAGTACCATGACCTCACAGCAGACCGGGGTGAAGTGGAAGAGTTATTTTTCTCGTTTAGTCTGGTGAGTGAGGTACCCGGGGGCAACCTTTATTAAAAGGCAACACATCTGAAACCCTGCTGGCTGTTGCAAATATCCACGGGCGGCGGTTATCACTTAACAATCCTTTGCTTATCCTACTCACATAACAAAAGAAAACAAGATCAAATTAAATATCAAAAAGATTCATCTTGAGAGAGCAGAAGAAGACGCAGGTTCGATCCCCGCAGTGCCGAAAGTTTTTGTTCATATATCTAAAAAAAATATATTTTAATATTCACATTGAGTACAGATACTAGCGGAGAACGAAGGCGACATCTCTCTTTACTGATAACCATTGTTAAATGTTATTTGTAAGGTGTTTCATACTATAAAGTATGCTCACTAGATGGCGCAAAGCACTGCTAAAATACATTAAAGGGCGTAGATAAATGTCGAGAGGTCCGCGCTGTCAGGTCATCGACAGCTTATCTTAAATGATGATGCATTTGGGCACGAAGCCGGAAGACGCAGGTTTGGATCACGCAGCGCCGAAAGTTTTTGTTCATTGATCTAAAAATTCATATACTAGAAAAATGTTATACGTCTATAATATGGACTTGTTTACAAGACATGTATCATATAGTACAAGATTTGCCTAGTCCATGACTTTTCAATATTGTTTAAACTAAAATAATATTGTTCAGAATTGTGTCCTGAAATATTTATCTATTAAAAATTGAAATTAATTCCTTCCCTATAAGTCGTTTGTGTTTATGGGCCGAGTTTTCGGATCGTGGGTTCCATTATGATTACAGATAAAACTTGAAAGTGGGTATTTGGCCACAACATCAGTATTTTCATTTATGAAAAGACTACTTGTAAAACCGTCCTAAATTTTATATGAAAAGTTGGAAAACGAAAGGGCCATTCACTCGATGTTAATTGATTACCACCCATGAAAATCTACAACACCTGAGGAGTTGCAGAAGCGTTACCAACCTTGAAAAAATGAGCCCCGTTCAACTGAGTTACCAGACGAAACGTTAATATGAGACCGTGCTACTTACCCAGACGAGGTTGGCCATTCGTACAACAGCAGAAGCTCCTACGCCATGTGCTGCGTGGTAATGTGAAAGAGGTGAAATAAAAGGCCGATTGATTTTCATTAGTATCTGTAAGTATATTTCTTGTATATCCAAACGTCTCGCGAGATTCCACTTGACGCATTTCTCAAAACTTACAAAAGGAAACTACATCTAGATCATTTATAACGGATCTAAAAATAAATACTATTTCGATATTGCCGAGATTGCAGGGAATTATAACCTCCGGTGTCACTACACTGATTGGTTGTGCTCACTGCTAGATTTGTGCTGTTACCTCATCGGTCAGAATCCGATATAACTATGCTCGTGAACTATTCGAGTATTTACAAGCTTTCACGTCCAACGACGAAGATAGAACTAGTTTATTAACTAACCCATTAACTTAACACACCTCCTCCGAAAACACGCGTTCCCTATCTATATCTACTACGTGACTGTCGGCGAGCCCGTCGCACGAGCTCGACGCGGCACCTAGCGCATTCGACCCCCCGCTAATTGTGGCACCGTCCCGCGCGGCACTCCGATCCGGTTTGTCTCCGTCCGCCGTGCGCGTGTTGAGGCCGTGGCCGGTGTACAGATGGACGGAGGGCGCCCCGTCCTTGGGGTTGGCGAAGTAGCAGGCGGAGTAGGGCGGCGGGGGCTCCTCGCGCGCGCGGCGCTTGCTCGGCCTGCGGGCCTGGGGCTGCGCGCACTCCGAGTAGGGCGGCGGCGGGTCGCGCGACTCCGACGGCGGCTCCGACTCGCTCAGCCCCGGCGCGTCCGAGTCTCCGTTCGGGTATCGATCTGTAACGTCCTCCTTCGTCATGAGAGACATCTAATAGTTTTGATGGGAGAGTCGTCCTTATGACGTTTGCCATTTACTCTCCCGTATCTATGCTTGATGTAGACAATTTCGTATGAATTAAACGCTGCATATATTTGTGTTATTCTTTTTAGATTTTAATCGAAATATTTGATAAATAAATTTTGATGTCAGATATAATGCCCTCCGTGCCTTTCTGCGATCTCGCTTCATGGTGAGCATTGAGGTAATCTTAGTTACCAAAAGTTAGCGCAGAAAAACCTTATACTCTTACTTTGAGACGCTAACAGGCGATTCACTTGATATCAAATATTACAAGCTCTTATGGGGTTTCCAAATGCGTTGCCAACCTTTAGATAGAGACCTTGAGACGAGTAGACTTCGATCACCCCACTCATCAAGCTCTTCTGCAGACCAGTCTGGCATTTCGTACAACTTAAAATTAAGCATCCACCCCTTCAGGTGTTTTTGGCTGATCATCATTTACCATCAGTTGAAAATATTTCGAGGATCACATCAGCGCGGATTCTTTGCAGATGATATGGGCTAGACTGTCGTTTTACAATGAATACAAATGTAATACAGCGATTCTTGGCTATTGGTAAAGTTTTAAATGTGAATATAAATAACTTTGTGATAAAATTCCAAAATAATATGAGATTCAATGATGAAATCCTTCATAAAATCTTGTATAGGTGTGGTAAGTTCATATAATGAAATAACAATAAGTTTGTGCCGTGCCTCTCTTTAGTCTTCTGAATTCATTTGGATTATAATGATTAATAAAGCAATGTCAAATGGATTACTCAAGTTGCTATGATTAAACAATTTCCACTTGAAACTAAATTACGTTAAGAATATCAATACCAATTGAACAAGTATTCTGGAATGAGCAAAGCGTGTCGTTTTCCCGTCAAACACAAGAGAAATATGAGAACGAAAGAGAAGTAAAGGGAGATCTAATCGAGTCTAAATGAGGTATCAAAGTACCGCCAGCCACAGAGGTATGGTGAGACTTACGACTGGTTGCCAGTACAGTCGGCGTCGGCCATTCCTCCGACTGACGCCTTCGCACTGAAATTAGTTTTGAAACGGTTAAATTTGGCAGTTACGTTAATGGAACAAGACACGTTGTTATGTAACGTGACCAGCATTGGACGTTCAATTGCGAAATTCAGAGTTAAAGTTCTTCCCACCGGACATCGCCTAGTGTGGAGTTTGACAGAACTGAAATTATTATTTAAATGACTCTAAATCATGTATCGTATTGTTTTGGTAGTAATCGGTAGTGGTTAAGTTACGTGACCAGTAAGCGAAAGGTTGATAAATAAATTATCATTATTTAAGTATTTTCATCCCATTTCAGTCTTAAGAACATGTTATAAAAGTTGTATAGGATCATCCCCGTGCTATGTAAACAACTGCTGATATAAAAAGTTTTTTTTTTAATTCGCAATCATTGGTGGTAAGTGTGTTGTTATTATTTCGGCTTAAATTTTATTTTAAAAATGGTTCTTGATGAAATAAATGACTAAAAAGACATTTAACTTTTAATGTAGTCTAATTAGTGTCCTTGAGCGCGGCTAAGAGAGTAGGAAACCACATCGCTGCGTTTCAACAAAGTGAAGAGTTACAACATTTTTAAACGGAAATTAAGTAAAGTTTTCATAAGCGACCTTCAAACAAAATCATTATGAACAAACTTATGACATAATCAATAAATCAGTGATGTGTTTAGAATGCGCATTGTATTATGCATTAATAAAGCTTGGCCAACTATAAAGAAAATAATAATAAAGAAAATAATAATCAGACTAGCCAGTAGCCACCTCAAGCTCACGCGTGACGCTTTCGTCCCTTTCCTTTTTTCCATCGGACTGATTTATTCCGATCTGAAATTTTGGGAAAATTTGGAAACTGTCGCTTTATTAATACCTTTATAAGCTCAAGATACTGATGATAACGTCGTTACACTTAGGAAGATATCATAGTAATACTCTTTACAAGTCTGTTAAATTTATCAAACACTGAAAATTTTGGTAAGAAGATGAATTTACAACATAATTGTGGTCTTAAGAACGTAGAATATAATAAATGTCTTAAAATGTAAAGAGAAGAGAAGTTATGCTGTCATATTATGGAAACATGTAATGGTTGTAAGAGTTGTAATTTTTCAGATATTAAATAATTCTGTTATTTGAATAAATAAAATAAATAATCATACAAATTAAAAGAGATTAGAGAAAAGATGAGCAGATGTGACTGGCAGGAGAATAGGGGGACACAGGGTACACTCACAGTTGAGCAGTTTCCTGGCGAGGCAGCGATCGATGTAGCGGACCAGTAGAAGCGCCGCCATCAGGAGCACCGCCCCCGCCGCCCAGCCGCTGGCCAGGTTGCTCCACTCGGTCCAAGGCCGCCCTGATGGCGTCTGATTGCCCGTCGATTCCTATCAACGTCAACGACCCGTTGTGATTATCACTTGGAGATGTTAGTTATTCATAAGATAAAGTAAAGTATCAGCCTATACATGACCCACCGCTGGGCAAAGGCCTCCTCTGTACAGAGGGTATCGGGGCATAGTCCACCACGCAGTACCACTGCGGATTGACGGACTTCACGTATCTTCGAAATATTCTCTTTTGTTATTATTTCGATAATATGCAGGTTTCCGCACGACGTTTTCCTTCACCGCTGAGCACGTGATAATTCGGCACTTAAAATTAACAATTTCATTGGTGCCAGCACCGTGGATCGAACTCAGGGTGCTCGAGTACATTGAATTAAAGGCAAGCGCCGGACACTGAGCTATCACGGCTCATAAGATAATTCCTATTATATACATCGTTATATATAATTCTTCTGTGCGTGTGTATATTACTGAATTCCTCCCAAGCGGCTGGACCGTTGTTGATGAAATTTTGTTTTGTGTGTTCAAGCGGATTCGAGAATGGTGTAGATTCACAATTCGGTCAACTACAAAATGTTTATTTAATTAATTTTTTATTTATTAGTTCTCAGATTTAAGACGTGTGTATAAGACAACTTCTGTCGGATCCGCTATTAAATATACACGTTAGTTTTCCAAGGCCAAGTGCCTAAGAAGTACAACTTAAATAAATTAATTGAAATCTGTTAAGTTATTCCGTGATTAGCGCACGGCGGCGGACATTATCATTATATTTATATGGATGCCTCCTCTATAGAGAGCGGTATTCATAGTTACGACACAGTTTTCAACTAATGTATCGTTTTGTGTTAATTATCACGTGTCGTTTAAAAAAGTATATGACATTGTTGCTGATTTAAAAGTTATAATTTGAAGGCAATTGAATATTAGCAAGAAAGCTTCAGGCACCTTATTGTTCGATAAGTGAATAGGCATACAACCGAATGGAGAAATAATAAGCTGTCGTACTTCCTCTCCGTCCGTCACAAGTCCGTCCATTCATTCAACTACAGATGCTTTTGCAAACATCGGTAATCTTATCATCTTTGATCGGCAGTGATTTGAGAAGCAAATTTTGATGGTGATAATGATGAAGAGGAAGATATTGGTGAATTATACATTAATGATGTAATTTTAATTTATCAAGTAGATACGTGATAGGGCCATGGAACAGTGTTCGCTGTTGCACGAATGGGCAGGTCCATCCGCGTGAAATGGGAATGTTATACTTCTGCGTTTAGTCTGGCGAGTAAGGTAGCCGGGGCCCACTTTACTAAGAGGTGGCAACGCATCGGTACCCTACGGGTGTTGCAAGTTTTTGAAACTTACGTAAGGTGAGTGCGTCGAGGCCTGAGGTGCACGGCGATCGTGCCACATAGGTGGCAGAGTGGCCATGGCAGCGGCACGGCCCAAAGCAGTGTCCAATCTGTAATAATTTATATTGCACATGATTAGTTTACTTCCAAACATTAATTAATAAATGTGTAGGCTACGCTAAAGGCAAGTCTATGTTTTGTTGGTAACATTTACACTTTCGCGATTTTTTAACTCAACATAAGGGGTCCCGCTGCCCGCAAACCAACATTATATATAAATTATGGCACACAGAACCTAATAATTAAACTACAACTGCGTTTCAAGACGTTTCTCTCCGCCAGCAGCCAATGTTTAACACATTCAACGCACATTGGGGCTATGGCCTGATGGTGCCGTAAATCTCTTCCTAAATAGACAACGCATGCATGAGCACATGCGCTGCCCTACCCAAGAACAGTTGTATCAAGCTCAAGCTTTAATAGTCTACGGTTGAAAGCGAGAAAATCATACAATAAAGATAAAGATCTTAAAACTTTCGTGATCTTACGTTGAAAGATATTTTATGAGAGGATTTTTCAAACAACTTCTTGTATGAGATACATTTTGTCCATTTGAACAATTCGTTGGTGCCACGGCGTTTATCATATGGCAGATTTTTTTCAAAGAATTATGAATTACCTATGTTTAATTGATCGAATGGTGGCCACAAGACATGCATTAACCCTGAATTGTTGTGTGACATAAGTTTTGCCCATTTGACCAATCCGTTAAAGTCACCTTCCTAATGTAACAGATGAGAGCCATAATAATTATAGCACAATGAAGTGTCTTGATGATGTGACGTTCAGTGTCCCTAATTAGTTTCGGATTAATTAAAGAGCATTGCATAATTAATTAAGACGTCGTTTAATCATTTCATTAAAATGTATGACTGTGTTCAAGCTCACCTTATTAGATGTTGGATCTGCTTCGGCGAGTAAAATATAATGTCCGGGCGACCGACGTGCGCCCAGTCCAAATGTATTCGTTGCAGTGCGTGCAACTCTTGCAGGGACTGAAGAGATTGCAACGACTGCAATGGCTGCAGGGGCCCCTTGGTTCTACGGTGGAGCCTCTCGGCCAATTCCCGACGAGTGGTCCAGGAGAGCGGCCGGGGAGGCCGCGAGGTCGCATGCATCTCACATCTGGCGAAACGATTAAAATTGAAAATTATTAATCTACTAGCTGCTGCCCGCGACTACGTCTGCTTAGAATAGGCTGAAGGCGTAACTTTCAGACAGAAAGACAGATATGCATAAAAATATGTATATAAATTATAGCCTATGTGTTATTCTGATGTATTAGCTATATTATTGTAGTTTCATTAAAACCCAGTCAGTAGTATTTGCGTGAAAGAGTAACAAATATCCATCCATACTTACAAATTTCGTTTATAATATTAGTAAGGATGTTTCAAAGTAGTACCTATAAAGCCGCGCTAGCCCATTGTTCGAGTGTTCGAAAATTGAACGAATGAAATTGTTAATTTTAAGTGCTGACTTATCACGTGCACAGCGGTGATGGGAAACGTCGGGAGGAAACCTGCATATTTTCGAAACAATAACAAAAAATGTATTTCGTTTGATTTTCAATGTATTGTTTTGCAGTTTGTAGAAATTTGATGTTGAAAATAATTTGGTCTCTGCCTGTAGGAAATTAAAGTAGGTGTTTAAGTACTAATAGAATAATTAATATTATTTATTTATTTTATTTAAAAATTTATCGTTTACACCTCAACTTAAGGCTAAACAAAAGGCAAACTTAATGCTAATAAGCATTCTCTTCCAGTCAACCTTGGGAGTAGAAAAAGTTTGACGCAGGTGCAAAACAAAATATGCGAAATAAATTAAAGAAAAATAAATAAAAGGAAACAAAAAAAGCAAAGGTACATTCTATAGAAATATGCTTTACTCAAAAATAAATACTTTACATATAATTATTAAATACTTATAAATTTCAATCCATAAACATTATACATATAACATAAATATATATAGGTATGTATATTTTAATGATTGTAATATACTTTTATCCTGATATGTGTAAAGTTATACCTAAACGATTGCTTTAGATCAGGAACAGTCTACTGAAATATTTAGATTTTTTCTTTTGAAATACGAGGATTACAAGGATTTAGGAAACAGAATAAGAATTTGACCCCCTGAGTGAAACCATGTTTTAAAGAAGTTCAAACAGAGGGCACAAGCTACTTGTTTTCTAAACTAATTTGTACCCTATTGTAAAATAATAGAATCCATTCTAGTTTAGCAAATAAGTTGTTCATTTTGTATGCTATCATGCTTAAGCAGGCGTAATCCGCTTTTGGTAATACATTTCAAGGTAATTGTACAAATCGAGTTTTCTTTTTTAACGAATCTTTGAATATTATCACAACGAACATTTGGAGAAATGTAAAGTGTGAACACATGACACATTTATAGGTTCTGTATCTATGTAGTTTAGATAGACGCAGGGAAAATATATATGTACCTATTTACTTTACAATATTTCTTATTGAAAAAACTGTATGCGTCATTATTAGGAAGGGACAAAAGGCCAGACCAATTGGAATCGTGTTAAATGTTATGTTTAGAAATCATTAACATGTCTTCGGGTCGTGGTAATTCTCTATACGAGCCTGCCCATTCGTGCAACAGCAACAGACTGCTGCGTGGCCGTACCACAGTAAACGGTTTATAGAAACAAATTTAAAAATATTTTATGCATAATTATTATGTAGGTATTTACTTAAAATTTTTGAACATAAGATAGAACTTAAGCTTTCTGATTTAAATGTCTTGATTCTAGAATCCTATCGAAAGGGAGGCATAGTGAGCCAAATATGTGTGTTAACTTTCTTGTTAGTAAACAACTACCTAGTAACAACAAGTACAATATTACCAAATAAACTATAATACCAACGCCCGTGAAGGTGATGTCTTCGTGGCGTTGTTGCACGGTATTGACTTCGACGTCGAAAGACATGAGTTCGATTCCCACACGCTATTAACTATTTGTGTGACCCACATATAATTTTTTCAGGTCTGGGTTTTTGTCTAAATGAAATTTATGTGTGTATGTGAAACTTCCTTACAACACAGGATAATGATAAACGTCCTTCCACACCAAATACAAGTGAAGAATCCTCCGTGAATACAGAGGATGGTAGCAATGAAGTGATATAGTTAGGCCGTTTCGAATGCAAGGCGAAAAATCATTCGGCAATGCGCCGTAAACGTAATGGTTTTCCTTTACGTAACCGCTGCAGCTCGTCACACTCCATTTCGATGTGAATTCATAAGCAGTTAGATTCGTCGAACCACTCTTTATTAGTTTCTACTTAAATAACACTAAACGTATACTTTCAACTAATGAGAGTCTGTTCCAACAGTATTACCTATGTTCTTACGTTCAGTTGTTTTGTCATAATAAATAATTTTTCGATTTGTTTTTACCGCGTAGCAGACCTTTTGCTTACACGAATGAGATTGCGATAGACAAAAAATACAACAGTTCGTAATTGAATAAATAAGAAGAGGGTCTTAACCCTTTCACGCCCAAGGGAAATATTTTTCCCTTCTACAAAAATCATTATCGATTGTTCAATTATTATTGAATTGATATTTTTTTTACTAAATGTCAAAGTAAAACGTATGTCCAAGGCGGCAAATGTGTTTCTGAATGAATAAACAAAAAATAACTGTCTAACTTTATTGCGCCAAAACCAAAACATTCGCGGGCTGAATTAATAATATCTAGGAAGTGTTTTGGACTTGAGCAAATAAAATAACTTTATTTTGTCACGTGTTTTACATTATTTGGTAAGTATAATTTTATGTAATAATACAGTAAACTGCAGAACATTAGCACAAGTACCTGAAAATTGCAAATCATCTAAAGGGAAATATTTTTCCCTCTGGTCCATATCTGGTGTATTCGTTGTATTATTATTATATGTAGTGCTTTATGATAATGTAGGGATTACTTGTATTTTCTTGTATTTTATACAGTTTACCTTCATGGTTTTTTACAGAAAAGACTAAAAGTGCAGAGAATTTCATATTCAAGATGAAGAACTATTGCTTATGGCGATAGTAGTGACGGAGAAGATAACTTACTACAGACTACAGTTAGACGAAGAAGACCAGCAGTTCATAGCTCAAGATGTAGAAAATGGAACCGATGTTGTTGAAATTGAAGATTCTGTTCAAGAAGTATCATCAACATGTAGCACGAGGTCTAATATTTTTTTTATGGGAAGAAAGCGGCAAACGAGCAGGAGGCTCACCTGATGGTAAGTGATCACCGCCGCCCATGGACACCTGCAACACTAGAGGGTTTACAAATGTGTTGCAAGCCTTTTAGGAAAGAGTATGCTCTCTTTTCGACACACCGGCGACAGCTGGTTCCACAGAGCGGTTGTACGAGGCAGGAAATGCCTTGAAAATCTCGCCGTTGAGGAACGCTGGAAATCGAGGTGGTGTGGATGAAATTTTTGGTTTTTGTCCGATGGTGAAATTCGGCCGCCAGAATCAATCCAAACAATTCTTCGGAACACTCCCCGTGATAGGTGTGGTAGAAGATGCAGAGTGATCCAACATGTCTACGCAGAACCAAAGTATGAAGTCGATCGGAAAGACTTTGATCGTCGATAACCCAAGATAGGCGTTGCGCCGACGTGATGTCTCGCCTTACTGAGCGAACCTACCTTCTTTGAAGCCAATGTGGTCTTACTTTCCAATTGACCCCGGAACTGGACATTGCTCGAGATTTCGACGCCAAGTATTCCGATATTTTACATGTAGACAGCAAACAAGAATCACTTAAGTCTCCTCTGAAAAGCTCCGCATTGGAAATAAACTGAAGCGATACGTAAACTGTGCAAAACGACGTATAGAAAATAGGAGACATAATAAATGTGTTATGTGCAATGAACACTTGTGCTTCACAAGTAAACGAAATTGTTTCGTAGAATACCATAACTAACTATTTATTTTACTTTTCTGATAATTTTTACTGTGTTTTTTGTATTACAAAGCAATAAATAAAATACCGATAAAATAAACCTTACTCTTTATTTATTTACTTTTATGGTCCATAGGGAAAAATATTTCCCATTAAATTATAGGAAACCTATACACCCTTCTATGTTTTTCTGGAGATATCCTCTTACTTTATACCCACAATAGCTAAAATATTGTGTTGTATCGGCATATTTAGTCTTGGACATCTTATGGTCCTGTAAGGGTTAACAATGTGTATGTTACACTTTAATTACATGTTTAATTTCATTAAATTCGAAAATTGGCAAAATTCAATCTTATAATTTATTAATTCTTAGATTGTCAATAATTATTATAAATGAATTAAATGCTATTCATCATTTGACGCGAAGATTACCTCCTAATATTGAAGATCGAATATCAATTGAGACCCACAAAACTGGAGACAGCTTGATTCACTTTGTAAGACAATTTAGAGTTAACCCAATAAATAGAGTAACAGACGCACTTATGACTTAAGTTAATAAAGTATATTTGTTTTTAATTGCCACAATGTCAATTAATATATCTGACACACAAATATATTGCAATTCAGATGATGATTATGTCTTCTAATTTTTGTATTTTATATATTAAAACTGATGGACGCCTATCCGAAACAAAATCAACAATGTCTTGATGTACAATTTTTGAAGCAAAAATTACACATCAAAAAATTCGAATATAAAATAAAAACGTACTAAGTAGTAAATAAATTGTTATTTATATAAGTCTTTATAGTTTACAATTGATAACATTGACGACCGTGAACTGTTTGATAGTCCTTGACCGCAGGATAAGATGTCAAATGTATTGTCCTACAAGGTACCTACTAGTAAAGATAATAACGGATTACATTGACATAAAGACAATCAAAACATTTTGGAGCTGAATAGTTTTTACTTCACTTAATATCTGTATGAGCGCTCTTGTAAATCAGTTCTTGCTTTCGTATTATGAATGTCAATGACACTACTACTTCTAGTCATAAAGCCCGAATGAGCTGAAGAAAATATTGGGTTAAGTGTTCTTAAGTCCGCTTAATCCATTCGTATGCATAGCTAGCTGTAGACTTATATATGAAATATAATTAGCAAAGTATTGTAAGGAATAAATGTGTTACTATGTCATAACAGATTACACGTAAACCGTACAGTTAAAATGTTCACATGCCAGCACCAGTGCGCTAACGAAGTTGTTAGGGCAATGCAGGCAAATTAATAATTGAGCACAGTATGGTTACCAAGTAGAAGCATAGCTGTTTATGTCTATGGCCTTCTAGAAAGTATTATGATACACATAAGATGCTAGTTACTCGTACAGCTAGAAGATAGCTTTTCTTTCTAACCTTTATTACGTTACCGATAATGATTACGCATCTGTAACGTGCCAATAAAAGCGTTCGAGTTGTAACGCGGAACGGGATAATCGATGTCCACTCACCAAAGTTCTGAGAGCCGGGTGCTTGGTAACGGGGCTTCGCCGTCGTGTTAACAGTGGTGGGGCTTAGCTGGGGTGCGGACTTTTCCCAGTCCGAAATACGTGCAGCGGAAAGTGCAAGCGGCGAACTTGTAAACAGAGAGGGCGCGGCGGTGCGCATGCGTGGACCACGTCCCTGTAGCCGAGGGGTGGGGTGAGCTGCGCAGGGGTGGGGGGCGGGGGGTGGGGCGTGCTCGATCGACGCGTGGGGGACTACGGTCCGGCGCGGTCCTCAGGGTTCCCCACTTGGCTGTTTTGGGGAAAAGTGTGCAATGAGGTCTTCTTACGGCCCTCATGGTATTGCGGTTATTTTTTTATTTCAAAAATAATAGTTCGATTATGTCTCTATAGTATGAGATTGAAAATATTTTTTAAGAACTGAAACTCTTTTTGAAATATTAAATACTTCATTGTACCGATAATTCATTGAATAGTTATTTAATAAAATGATAAATTAATTGTGATAAAAGTTTGAGTTTTAAACTGTACATATTTTTTTCCGGGATTTCAGGGTTTCATTAACTTAAATTTCGGGAAAGATGTTTTGCAAAGTTGGTAACCCTGGAGTTTTTCCACTTCGCGACTTCGTTCGCTATTAGCTACTGACGGTGCGCACGACGACCGGGAATTATTAATGTCATTTAAATCAAATTAAATTATCTCTCATGAAAATTATGCACTTAGTAGTTTGCTAGTGATTGATTTAGTTTGCTTCACACGACAATCTTTTATTCGTTTTGACCTAAATTTTCAAAACACATGCACTGTACAAATTGCGTGCATTAAAAAGCATCGTGTCCATTGGTGTTTTAAGGGCAAACATAATTTTAACTAAAATATTATGCAACAAATTACAATACTTTCTAAAAAGTAAGTAAGTAAGTAACAGCCTATACATGTCCCACTGCTGGGCAAAGACCTCCTCTATACAGAGGGTATCAGGGCATAGTCCACCACGCGGCCCCACTGCGAATTGGCGGACTTCACATATCTTCTTTCAGGTTTTCTCACGATGTTTTCCTTCACCGCGGAGCACGTGATAAGTCAGCACTTAAAGTTAAAAACTTCATTGGTGCCGGCACCGGGGATCGAACTCAGGTTGCTCGAGTATACTGAATTAAAGGCGAGCGCCCGGATACTGAGCTATCACGGCTTGATATACTTTCTGACCAATTTTTAAATTAAATAAATCACTAGCCAACAGCAGCCTGTTTGAGTCCACTGCTGAACATAGGCCTCCCCGATAGACTACCACGAAGTGAGATGCTGAGCCACCTGCATCCATCCATATGCACAGGTCACTCCATCCAGTGGAGGGGTCGTCGTACACTGCGATGGCCAGTACGAGGCTGCCACTCGAGATTCTTTCTTACCAATCGGTTATCGGTTCTACGAGCTATACGGCCGGCCCATCGTCACTTCAGCTTGCTAATCTTCTGAGCTATGTCGGTTTTCATTTATTCTGTTCTACTGTGGATGTCTTGGGGGAGGCCTATGTTCAGCAGTGGACTCAAACAGGCTGAAATGATGATGATGATGTGGATGTCTTCGTTGCGAATAACATGTTCGGTATTTCTCTGCGAGACTCTATCACGCATAGCCCGTTCCATAGCTGCTGAGCTACTTTGAGCTTCCTCATACGGCCAGAGACTTTGACTTCATAAAACTTAGCACTGTTTTTTTTTATGGAGAAAAGGGGCAAACGAACGGGGGAGGCTCACCTGATGGTAAGTGATCACCGCCGTCCATGAACACCTGCAACACCCGAGGGCTCACAAATGCGTTGCCGACTGTACTGTGTTTTTTTGTTTCGAAAGTGTATTTCTCCCACAAAAGAATAAATCATGTACCTTAAAGGATATGTTGTATGAAAATCTTTTTCAAGCGGATGAAACCGCGGGTTAAAATCAGTGGAAAATGAAACTCCGATGAAATCGAAAACAACGGGGCTAAACGGCGCTCTATTTCTTTATGCCCAAATCCCTTAAAAATTTTCGGAGCGAATGTTACTTTTGCTATTTCTTGTGTTTACGATACTGTCCCATTTCGCCGCGACGCGTGGCGGCGCGCGCTAAATCACATTTACGGGCCAAAAATTTAGGTTAAGCTACACAAGTATCCCGGAGACCCGGAAAACATACTAGGTCGAATTTAATATAACATTTTTCATTATTTTCAATGCCGTTCAAGTCTCGTAAATTCAGATTCCGAGCAGAGGCTCCTTGTGAATAGATTTTTGTTATGAACTTGTTTTTACACATTTATTGCAAATGGATTTGAACATCTCTTTCTGATTACATTTATTAGATATATAAAAAACAAATCTTTGACAATCAAAATATGCAGAAAGGTTAAACAATAATTATATAAAATGACATTGTCGAAGATTTATCTTTTTTAATAGTTAAACGAAACAAATCATCTATAGATTCTTCTTTCTCCTGCCCTAATTCCGCTTAGGTGAGGTCGGCACAATGTGGAAACCAATGTTAATGGTACTGGCTATGTTTCTACGACCGGTTGTAGAAACATAGCCAGCGGCCGGTCGTAGACGGCAACCCTCTTTAAGAGTAAGCACCCAGATCCGGAACACGGGGTGAAACAAATACTTGCCCCGCGTGGAACCGCCGATGCAAACAGCCGAGCCACAAACAAGTTAAGTATCATGAATATAAATGCAAATTCAACTTTAATTCGGCCCCGATTTCAAAACTCTAATGGTTTCGCCCGGTTCATCTTAGGGCAGCAGACGAAGTTTTGAAACAGACTTTGAGTATGATGCGAAATTTGTAGAGTGACGAATTCGAGATGCTGAAGTTTTTTGTATATACATTTTGTGTTTGGAATACTTTTAAAGATTCAACCGAAGATGTAGATTCAAAAAGGGCCGTTGCTAAGCTATTGGCTTCGGCGTAAGTATTTGTCACACAGAGCAAGTATTTGTCTGACCCACAAATAATTGTTCCAGATCCGGGTGTTTGTTTCCCAAAGAGGGTTGACGTCAGGCAGGCGGTCGGACGTAAAAAACATAGCCAAAACCGCTACCAACATGATTCTCATGTTGTGCCGACCCCACCCAGCTGGGATTAGGTCAGGAAGATGAAAATGGTCACTGGCATAGCACCATTTAGAAGGCCCAAAAAGCGTCTACGTGTTTCCGAGTCGCCGGCCTATGCGACACAGACAGGCAACGTGGGTTTTAGTGGGGGCCCGTTTCCGGGTCCCCCTCATTCCCCGGCCACTCCCCAGAACCAGTGGCAAGGGATCCATATGGGAGTTTTCCCACGGAAAAATGGAGGATGATGATGGTATCGATTCACGTGGTTCCACTGGTGGTAAGCGAGGTCGTCGCTCATAGACGCTCATAGCACCAGAGATGGCGGCTGTTACCAACTCCTGAAATACCTGGTGGGAGAGAGATCTCTCTCTCCAGACTAATCGCATAAGTATTAACTTCTACATCGCACCGTTCTTTTGTAAGCCTTGGTGCCTCTCTCGTGCTACTATATTCAGTAGTCTAGAAGAGTCTGCATTTCATTAAATGAGATCATTCTCAGAAATCTGATCGAAAAGGATGCGGTTAACGAGATCGTTTTATGGCACGCGACAAATCCGATCACAACAAGAAATGAACACCCAAGAGCCATACGCAAATGAAGGAATTTTCCACCGACTTGAAGTGGCTGATTTGTAGAGGTATAATCACTAAGTGTAACGCCGAGGATTGAGAGGCCAATAAGCAGTGTGGGAGAGAGGTCGCAGTGGCGGGAGGGATGAGATCGATGAGCGACACTCCGGCGCCACAGCTTCCGCCGTGGACACACCGAGCGCAAATCATCCCTCACTTAATAACAATAATAAATTAATTAATATAACAAAAATAAATAAGGACTCCGTAGCACGGTTGACAAGTTATTAGACTCGGCGTTGGGGGTCGTGGGTACGATTCCCACACGGGATGACAATTTGTGTGACCCACAGATAATTGTTTCGCATCTGGATGTTCGTCCGCGTGAAATTTGTGTTGTGTGGTTGTAAAATGTTTCTTACAACACGGGATAAAGTTATCCTAAATTAAAGGCAATCATTTGAAAAGTAAACTATTAAATGCCCTGATTGCATTACAAGTTCGTGTGGAATGAATTATGAGAGTAAAATTTTTACGACACACGCGCACACCGACAGTTAAAAAGCAACATTACGAAGTTCTTTGCAAAATAATAGCTTCACGGTATTATCGTGGCAACTAATAACAACTTTTTGACATTTAACTATAATTCAAAGTTATTTATTCAACAAATATCGCTACGAGGAAAAATTAATAATAATGTTTGATAGATTATTCCGTGCTGTGTAGATGATTTGCAAACGTAAATAAAACCCTGCCAACGATCAAACACAGAAATGTTGTTTTGAGGTGCCCGGATAGGGAATGCATCGACCTTCGTTTGCATCAAACCGTAAAGATTATAGTAAATAAACTATTGACTCATCGTAATAAGTATAGACAGATATTTATAATTCGCTTTTCCTTCAAGTATCCTTAAGTACTTTGCGGAACGCGGTTACGAAAAGTAAAAAAAAATTATCATACTCACCTATATAAATATTAATTTTAGATTGGGAAGAATAACTAGGTGAGTTCTTTTATTTATGTGACTAGCAAATTTGTAACGATTTAATCGATTATAATACCAACCCCGTTACAATAGCAATAAAATTAATATGGAATATATTATGGGAGCTGAGCCGAGCCTAACACAAAGAATTTTTAAAATAAAGTCATAAATGACGTAGTTCGGTAGTAAATAAAAAAACATGCTTCCCTTTTTTTGAAATCGAAAAAAGAGAGACTTAATTGACGTCGGACGCTCTCAGTGTAATACCGGCTTTAGTGTCTACTCTCGTTTAGTAGTCGCCAAGAAGCAGGCGAGTTGCGCGCGGCTCTCGTCGGTCCAAACAATCCACTACAGTTACTGTCAGATTTGGTGGTTTATTTGCTAGTGTACGGTCACCGCAGCACGATACAAAAGTGAAACGTGCTCTAGAGAATAGAAACATAATAATGTGTGATTGAGGTATGTATTGTGTTTTGTAACTTTTCGGTGTAAGGATGGGGTGATTCAAATGTGTCAGAGAGGTATTGAGACGCATGTGGGTCTCATGAATGAACTTGAGCTGTTTTTAGTTTTTATATTTTTTACTAAAATTTAGAAAACACACGACAAACGGGACAGCCCGACCGGGCAAGAAGAGTTATTGGTGGTAGTAATATTATGTGGTGTTATTAATAGTATTTATATTTTGTTCTGTTAGGGTCACGCAGCAGTATTTACTGTTGCACGAATGTGCAGGCTCGTCCGGTGAAGTACCACCAACTCTCAGAAGGCCGGTGTGAAGTATACTTTCGCGTTTCGTCAATTGAGTGAAGCAACCAGGTCCTACCTCATCCAGGATGCTTAAGAATCTGTAAACCGTCACCTATACGGTGTTACGCTGACACAAACTAAATAAGCATAATTTATAGAACTCCCAAAACGCTAGACTACCCAACAAAACCAAGTAACCAATTAACTTTCATTTTTCCAAACAGCTGCGACATTTAAGTTGAAGGGCGGAAGATAGCTTGAAGTTCCGCTTCTTGACAACTTGATTTTCTGCATTGTTACTTCAAGAACGTGCCGTGGCTTTTTAAGGTACGAGACAAATTGAAAAGGCTTAATACAAGAATAAGATGTTATGAAAACTATTATCTGTACAACTAGTCGTGAATGGAGAATATTTAAATATTTATTCAACATTCATACATTTTTTTCTCTGACGAGACAGACAGGCGGCCTGGAGTTAGGTCATGGTCATGATCCAATTGTGATACATTCCTCGAGTTCATCGTAGTGTTTGTCAAGGTCAAAACAAACGGGCAAAAGATTTTCAAATTATTCTTCATTAGTTATGTAACGTAGTAGTTTTAAACTTTCGCTGGATAGTTCAAGATATGTTGGTAAGTCATAATTATTGTGTAAGTAGATTTTTAGCAACATAACATAGCATATTTCAACCTAAAATAGCCAGCTCACTTGATGGTAAGCTATTACGATAGCATTCACAACAGCTAAGGATTTGCTGGTTTGGTGCCAATCAATGAATGGTGGACGGCGCAAGAAAATACAAAAATATTATTACTTTAGGCCGATGTTTTGAGGAATCATGGTACTTTCTCAGACTAGTCTGCTCATTCATTTAACAGCAGGATCTGCTTCGTGGCTCTACCATGGAAAAAACCAACTTACTTGACTAGCATCTCACCTAAGGATAGTTATAGATTTAATCTTGGATGTTATATGAAACGAAGACATCATATTACAATCGGACAGAATAAATGGAGCTGGAAAATTGTTTCACTCCCTTGCTATAAAAAAGCGTCCAGAAGAGGATCTATTTATCCGATGATGGAAGGGTAGGGAAAATTGAATTTTACAATTCCAGTGCTCTCCGACTATCTGAGTAAGACTCAGATAGTCGGGATAGCAGATTGATCAGGGTCAACAATAAGTCTTTTTGCCCGTCTTTTCATTGAGTCGACTGAGCGTTTTAAAATTTAAAAGCAATAGGCCAAATATGGCAACAGAATGAATAAATTAATCTGAACAGGTTCGTTGCAGTGATACCCACAAGAAAGTTAGACACTGTCGTCAGTGTGAGATTCACTCGCTCTACCAAAGCCTTTATTCTTTCGGACTAAATTACAGCTCTACTAGACCGACTACGCATTTGATAGCTCTCTACAACTGTGCCATAGATATCTAGCATTAGCGGGTCCTAACTATGTAGCAAGAAAAGAGTTGCGGAAAGTACGAACCCCTGACGACTGGAGCCCCACATTGGCTCACAAAAGCGCGTTAAAGTCACGCAGGAAGCATTTTACCCAAACGATTAGACTAGCGGATATGTGTACCTAAATCTGTCGAAGAGAGTTAAGATACTAACCATCTAACACAGTATGAAGGTAATAGATATATAAAGTATAATATAGTTAAATATTTTAAAAACCGCGACATAGAAGTACCATATGTGGCTCAGTTAAAGCATGTTCTTTGGATTTATTATCCGGAGCCGCGCAATTTTGCGCGTTTCAGCATAAACGGATTTGGCGTCAAAGCATGGACGAGTATTGCTACTGATAGAATACTCCATTGATTCTTTTATCTCATTACTTGTACAACATCCACACAGCGTCTTCTGAATTGAAGTAGATCGGCCTCCAAGGTTACGATGAAAACTATGCCGCATTTCATTCCAATCTATATCGTTATAATCGGCGTAGTAGGACACAGACACGACTAGAGAGTAGTCAGTGGTTTCTAAAAGAGAAGAAATGTGTATACTGTATCTATCCGGATCATCCGTAGTCAGGAGTAGGTCGCTTGCCTTAACAGCTAGTAGAGACAACGAGCCAAAGCTAAACTGTAAAAATCTGATCGATCGTACTCAGCGATAATCCCAAGGGGTAACTAAAAGTCGAGCTTCGCTGCTAGTTTGGACTCTCTCAGGGGACATGCGTAGCGCATCGCAGATGAAGTGGACTCCTTTGGGCGTTATATTGTTTTCACCTTATGTTATATTGTTTTCACGGCGGCAGGGCCACGCAGCAGCCTCGGCTGTTGCACGAATGGGCAGGCTCGTCCGGGTAAGTACCACGGCCTCACAGAAGAGCGGCGTCAAGTGGAAGTATTATACTTTCGCGTTTCGTGTGGTGAGTGAGGTGGCCGGAGCCCATCAGGTTGTCAACGCATCTGGAACTCTCGGGTGTACCAGATGTCCATGGGCGGCGGTATTCACTTAACATCAGGTGAGCCGTCTGCTCGCTTGGCAACTTTTCGCATATAAGAAATTGTATCTGTATTGTTATTATAGACTCAAAAAGGGCTGGTATGGGCGGTGTAGCTGGGGCGTCTGCACTGCTGGGCGTGGAGATCTGCGCACCGTTACTGATGCTGTGCTGGCTTTGCTGTTGGCCCGATGACGGCAGCTCGGGTTAGTAGTACAGATTAACATTTTTTTAAAATAGTAAGCGAGGGAGTGGTTCACCTGATGACTTATCCGACCCATGGAGAAATATAATATGGTACCTGAGGAATTGTGATTGTATTTGAATGGTCTCCAGTTATCTCGCTCGGCGAAAAAACACAAGAGTTCAAATACTTCTACTCCAGAGCGGTTTTGTATGCTTCTAGAATTAACACTTCTAGTGTATAAATTGACTGAAGCATTTACTGAAGTCACATTATAGTAATGGTTTATGTATAAAGTAAAAAGGAACAACTATCATTCAGAAATGGCTGCTGGATTGTTGTGATAACGTCATGAAATAAGAGGCGTCTTTATTAATAGGGAGATTAATTAACATTATTCTACAGGACCTAGTTAATCGCAGTGACGTAACACTTGTGCGCGACATTTTCTCAATGCCGTAATTCGGTCACCAAGCTTTAAACAAAAGCCTTGATGTTTAAAAGGTATAAAATTTAGGAGCTATTGTTATTCATTTGAGATTTCGTGGACAAACGGAGGTTGCGTGTACCTTTTTAAATATAAAATTAACAACGAGCCCTTATTAAAAGAAGTAAAGATTATCATGCTCTCAAGAATATGAGCTTCTTCACCTTATTTTGGGATAATTTTAGTGGAAGGCTTGATCAGGGTAAGAAGTAAGGTAAGTATGACACTGTTGCGAAGGCAGTGAGTGGGTGGCAGCACGCACTGTTCGGTCCATACAGCTTATAACCATTACCAATCTCCACTGGTCTCATTAGCATAACTCTCCAGTTATGGGACACGGTCGACACTTACCCGACAGACTGAAGAAGAACAGTTCTTTTGTAGCGTTTAAACATCTCAGTAGCATTGATTGCTATAATTAAAACTGTTTTTTATTCCAGATAAAAGCTCTGGTAGGCACCCAAAGAAGCCGGTGATAACAAACGGTTAGTAAAACGAAGATTCTTATAATTCACTAAATCACTATACATTAGGTCGTCAGAGTTGGGGAAAAACTAAAGATGAAACGTTAAATTGTAAATTTTTGTAGATAAATTAGCAAAAACTCTTTTTTGATAAATTAAAAAAATCTTGACATCTATCTACGTCCGTCCTATTGAATTTTTAGCAATGATTGGCGCCATCGAGTGTGCATTGTTTATAACATACTCGTACAACACCTTACATATAACATTCAATGAATATATTTGCAACGATTTATTTTTATTTTAATAAAAACCGAGGATCCGATAACTGTGTATCCATTCGCAGCTGTAATTTGTTTAGTAAAAAAATAATCGAAATTACCTATTTATTGTTTTGAAATTAAAACTAATTGCTACATAGTTTTCTAACTCTGCTCTTAGATCATTTATTCCTTATTAAATCACGCTCCGCAGAGTCTGGCCGGCATTCTGGTGAGCTGTTTGGGAGACGTTTCGGTAGCAGTGCTATTTCCCTGCACGTTCCTGGTACATCAGGTCAGTTCGTAGCAAAATTCGTAGCAGTACCGTGCTGGTGGGATCGTTTCACACATGTTCTTCATTTCTTCACCAATTTTTGCTTTCTTGTACATTTGACTAGGATATGCGTATAACGACATTACGACAGCATAATACGTAGTACTATCACCCATGATTTTTTTTTCTATATTTGCTTAATTTTGTCGCGTTCTTTAACTTTTACATAAGGATAGTAAGTAATACATCAGTGCTTATTATGAATATTAAATCACAAAAGTAGAGTTGATTTATAGTGAACGAAAGATGTGAAATAAGAAGTGATGAAAGATAATTAAGGATGTGAGGTGAATAGCATCGTTGGCCTAGTTACATATAGACACTAAAGATCCAGAATTGCAATATTCCAGTATATTTTTTTACGTTACTTAAGAACTGTTTACGTTTTACGAGTCCAATTGTTTTTACACATTCACGATCGCGACACAGGTTTCAAGAAGCAGCCGCTTGCCGCTCACAGGAGCCACGAGGAGATACGCAGCCGTCGCAAGTCCCACCACGAGAGCCGGGAGGACCCCACGCGCTACCACTCGGCGCCGAGCGTCATCGACGAGGTCCTCCACAGGAGGGACTGGGAGCGCTCCGCCAGGGACCTCCGAATACCGCTGAGGCCCGACGCCCTCAGCGCCAACGCCAGCCCCGAGCACGAACACACCGCCGCGGTATACAAGAGCGACGAGGAGATAATCGGGAGGCCGTGCAAGAAGCACCACACGAACATAAAGAGGTCGCGGAAAGTCAACCGCGAGGCGACAGAACCCTCAACAAAGGAGTCCACCAGAGATGACGTTAAGGATCAAGACGCTACCGAGCTCACGAGCGTCTCCAACTTCTACATCGGTGATGCATCATGCACGCTCAATAAGGAGAACATAGAGACAGAGCGTAGAACGGAAGAGAAGAGATTCAAAGCTAAGGACGTGAAGCAGTGTATGAACGAGTCGATCAAGTGCAGAGACAGGCCGCGGAACATCTTGGGCCCTTTGACGGAGCTCCAAGTTTCGGGAGGGTTCGATGAGGAGTTGGACATTGACAGGTCCGGTGCTGTGCATCATTTCGACGAGCCTAGGTCGAGCTACTGCGACACGCCGTCCGTGCCCTATCCTCCACTGGCTACAGGTAAGGTTAAATTCAAATGCAATTTGAATATAAGCCTTCCTTATCATCCAGAAGATGTTCCCACTAAGAGCGCCACAAGAAATGACACTTTGTACATCTGTATCCATTGATTTTTCGCTAAACCAAGCTCTCAGATAAGTAATATTAGGCATCTCTATTATGTAAATTCCGTACGACATGCATAAAGTAACTAGTCATTAAATAATTTTCTTAATATCATCAATTAGCGACCCACCCTAGCTTTGCACGGGTGCAATTTGCACATAAACCTTCATCTTGAATCAGTCTGTCTAATGCTAAAAACCGCATTAAAATCTGTTGCGTAGTTTAAAAGACCTAAGCGTACAAACAACGGGAGTGACTTTGTTTTATACTATGTAAAGTTGTGCAAGAATTAAAAGTTTCGTGAAATATTTTTATTAACGTTGGCTAAAACTTTCCATAGTGCTCGATAGTGTTGCTCTAACAAACGCGAATTATGTTGAAAATGTTCAATAAAGCTCGCTCATTCACTACTTCTGCCCCTACTCGACTATGCTGATATTTGCTATCTTGACATTACCGAAGTACAGCTTAATAAACTTGAGCGGATTTAAATATGATCATGTTTCCGATTTTCGTACACAGCTCAAGTAGCTCCCAATCCGCCTTCGCAGGAATACCCATATTCTCTCTGCTTTGTACAGCTTGTTGTTTAATCCCTCTACTCCGAAATACTTAAAAGATCGCTTCGAGTACTTTTCCTTACCCCATGAAAGGTCCCTTCCTTCTTCTGCCAATCTCTCCCTCCAAACTCCTGTACATTCCTCTTCCTTCTTCAAAAAATCTTTTACAGTGACAGCTGTGCGTCTGTGCAATTCGTTGTCCCTTCACATTCGACAAGCTAAGTCACTTCTTTCTTTTAAAAACCTATTAAAAGCTCATTACTTGGAACTGTGAACTCATGCTTTCCTTTTTCCATTCCTATTTTTCCCGAAAGCTTTCACTATCTCGTTGACGTATAAATGCCTTCATCCGATGTTCATAAGTGATTCATGTACACCTCCCTCTGCTTGTTCTTTATGTCTCATTAGCAAATATTCTTTTCGCAATGGTTTCTGGAAGAAATCGCTTTCTGAGCAATAAGACTGCCTCTTGTACTTCCTTTTATATTCATTTGTAATTTGCTTTTTATATATTTTTATTTTTGGTGTACAATAAAGTATAAATAAATAAATAAATAAAGTCAGTATTCAGCGCACAACTCAGATTTTCGGTGAAATTTTCTCAGAATTCGGTGTACTTTGATGTACAAATTTTTAATTGTGGTATGGTCACGCAATAGCTGGGTTGAACGGATAGACAGAGTCATTCAGGGAAGTATCCTTGTCTCGCAGAATACCAGCTTAAAATGGGAGTATTATACTTTTGCGTTTCCACTGAGTGGTGACCGAGGCTCACTTGATAAAAGCGTATCTGCGCGATACAGTACATATGCCCCATACTAGCAACATAGCAAGTAGCTCGAAGAACCGATGACCGATGGGGAAGAAAAAAAGAAAGGTTATCTCGCAGCCTCGTATTGGCCGCTACTAGAAGGAGTCATGACCTGTGCAAGTGTGCAAAAATTCGATGGATGCAGGTGGCTAGGGATTGTGCTCGTGGCGGCCTGTGGGGGAGGCCTATGTTCAGCAGTTGACTTTGGATGAAATACAATCCCCAGGTAATCATTTAACATCAGGTGATCGCCTGCTCGTGTGCCAACTTTTTAAATTTAAAAGATACAAAATCATGGCTTTAAACGGTTAATTGTTCTGCGAACAGAGTCTTCGGGTCCCGTGGAAATCGTTCCCCTGATGGGAGCGACGGATGTGCGTCGCAGCGCTTTACGGGGGCGACATGCTAGCGCAGGGGACGTGTTGGCTCCCACACTGCGCCCACACTCCGCAGCGCTCTCCGGTATATATATAGCACGATATCTATGCGTAGAACTTTCCGGTGGTAGGGCCACACAGCTGCCTCGGCTGTTGCACGAATAGGCAGGCCCGTCCGGGTACCACGACCTCACAGGAGACCGGCATAAAGTGGAAGTATATAATACTTTCGCGTTTCGTCTGGTGAGTGAGGTGGCCGGAGCCCAATATTCAAAAGGTTGTCAACGCATCTGGAACTCTCAGGTCCATGGGCTCGCATGGCAACTTTTCACATAAAAAAATTAAATAAACGGGTAGTGAGTAACAGCACATGCCGAGGTTCCCTCTCGAGAGCCCTTGCCTGTCACTCCATGGAGTGTCACCCAGGATATCCATGAGTAGAACTATAAACGGGTATAACAGCCCAAGCCGAGGTCCCCTCTCGGAGGCAGTCACTCCATGGACCGTCCACCAAAGGGACCGCAGAGCTTGGCGGTCTCCCTAACCGGTGAAATTAATAAGAAATGCGTGATGGTCCGAGCTACCTCGGGAGCCCTCGAGCATATTTGGACCTGACAGGCTTTATTCACATTTTACATCCTCTACATCTTCTGTGGATCTTAGGTTAGTATTCTCTTGCACGTTTACCTTGGGGAGATATAAAAATAATGAGAGACGTCGCAAGCTTCCACTAACTGAAGCATGTATGCTAAGATAGCTTTGGAAAAAGAGTGGAGAGAGGAAATTGTAACTTCCGCCTACCCCGCAAAGTGGCAGTGACATTTATGTACGTGTGGTAGTGTTAGCTAGCTTCCGTTGTTGCAAGAATGGGCAGGCTCGTCCGGGGAAGTACAACGACCTCACGGAAGACCAGCGTGAAGTAGAAGTATTATACTGTGGCGCTTCGTCTGGACTAACTAGATAATCGGGAACCACTTTTCAATGATTGGTAACGCATTTTCCACTGCCAGGTGCTGTGGACATCTATGGGCGGCGATAATAACTTAAAATCTGGTGAACAGCCAGCTATATAGCCAACTGTTCATATAAAAAAAATACGTGAGAGCTCATATATCATCCGTTAATATGTCGGCATTCTAAACTTGTATCACACTATCCTGAACCAGAGAGCGATCTGGACTTCGAGCTGGACTGCTGCGACGAGCCACCACCAGCATACGACCAGCTGCAACTGTTGAGTGTGGCCAATCGCAAGGAGACAGCAATTTAGACTAAGACTAGGCAGGGTCGGATTTAGAGGTCTAGAGGCCGGGGCAATAAAGGAGTGGCTGGTGGAGGAGGCCCCTTGGTCCCAAATTATTTTCCAAATAAAATTAACAATTTTTTTGAATCGAGGTTTCCAATAAATAATTTATTGTGAAACCAAGTACAGATTCTTTAATTATTTATCGAACATATGAAAATAATCAAAAATAATAATTATCTTAAATTAAATTTTAGCGAACGGAACATTCTGAGCTATTTTCGCCGAAAAATCAGAAGAAAAAAGTTGTTTAGTAGTGTGAATTTAACTTTTTTCCGAAGACTATTGTGGGGGCCTCTCTTTTGTGGAGGCCCTGTAGCCCCGGTTGCCATCCCCTAAATCCGGCCCTGAGACTAGGTCGCTGAGGGTTGGCTTCTATCACTTTAAACCGTTCGCTAAAACCGATTCGGTTGCGAAGTTTGAAAACGAGCTAATCAGTATTTCTGATTGTATTCTCTTTTTCTGTTTTTATTTTTACTATAAGTAAGAATAGATCTCCATTGTAAGCGTCCTTGTTTCGTTACAAGCAGATTCAGAACTTTTATTCTGCTACTAAAACGTATTTCAAGCTCTAGTACTTTAATAATAACACAGACTTTTAATTTGATCTATTTCCATTAGACAAAAAAAGTCTAAAATCATAATCTATATGTAATATATAATATACGGATTATGATTTTAGACTTTTTTGTCTAATAATGTTATATTTTTGTCTATAATCTTGCATTTGTATGATTAGTTTACCTGTCCTATTATACATATTAATTAACGTAAATATGAAATATGCTTCCATTGTTTTTATGTTATGATAATTAAGAAACTAACTTATAATTAAATTTAAATAACTAATTAACTTTGAAATTAAAGTGTTGATTTAGTACTTAAATGGATATTAACGAATACTAGTCACGTTAGATGCGTTAAAAATATTATAAAGTTTACAGTGTTATAATATGCGAAATCGTATTTTAATGATTGTCTATTTAATGCTAATAAGTATGTTTAGAGATAACGTGTGATGGGGTGAGACATTTCTGCCAGATCCGTTAAATATTTGATAATGTTGTTAATTCTGCCGACCACTCGCTGATAGTCTATACTTGGTGTTTTGTTGTAAAACAACGGTTGGGCAGGATAAGATAATGATAAGTTGACACCTTCCAAATAGATTTATTAAGTTGTAAAAATATCATGGTTTGCCTTCGTGTGATAACTTTGAAATAAAACTATTGAAGTTGGGTAATTTAAATAGTACAAACTCTGAACAGAAAAAAACTCGAGAAATATTTTTGGATTTCAACAAACTTATTCGAATTATTGCTAACATGTGTAAATGATTAAATATTTTTTTACAATTCAAAAAGAAATATAGTAATGATGCACCCTAGTCTTTTGTTTATTATCATGGAGGATAGAGGTAAGGAGAACGATCTTTGTTTAGAAAGTGTCCATCGAAAGGCGCTAAATTGGTGGCGCTACGGTCGCATGTGGGTATTAGTTTATTTTTATAACTGTTATTTACGGCTGGACACTTTTGTAGCTGTTCCCACATATGAGACAGTGCTCATTACCTCTACTCTCCGTATTTAGTACGGTAGTGGCAGTGAGTTATATTAGATAGGAAGTTGACTGTGATAGAAGGGCGGGATCATTGAAAGATGAAGCAGATTTTAATGAAACACGAGCGTTATTTGATTCAATATAATATAGACTATGATAAGTATGTTATGGAGTACCTCCGTGATTATTAAGGAAATATATTTTATGAAATATAATGAAAAGAAATATTTAGTAGTCCATTATTAAGTAATCTAAGTGGTAGGACTGTAGGCAAACATAGCTTATGAAAAAATCATTCATTCTAGTCAGTTAATTTCATATTCTTATTAGATAATATACAGTTGCGTTGACGTATAAATATTTGGTTTCCAGCCGGATTGACAAGTATAATACGTGTCACTATATTACAATTTATGAGTCAATTAACAGAAAATATGTCAATAAAAATGTAACAGACTTGTAGGTGACAATGTAATGAAGCGAAGAAACTTGTTTAAATTAAAAAGTTGTCTCGAAGTGATAACGACATTATTATTAGGTCAAAACAAATACTAAGATTCAAATTATAATATTAATACGCTCTGTACAGAGGAGATCTCTAACCAATACTAATTTCGGAAATACTATTGTGGCGTAATTTTGACAACAGTCTTTTAGCCTTTATACGTTGGCATTTTTCAAATGCTGCCAATTTAACTTTGGTTATATTTAGTATTGCAAATTGTAATAAAAAGTATTTTAATAATACTAAACTTTTAATGATTTTACGGTTCAATACGAACTGATAATGTTTTTACGGTTCAATTTCATCAATCTAATAGCGACCGTTAGACAAATTTTACAGCTTTTCACCTTATATGGTGATGGTGTTAAAATAATTGATGTATTCTTGTTACGATTATCAATAAATAAATTATATTTAAAACACGTGTTGTATTTTTATCATCATTGATACACATATTGGTTATATCCCTTTATCTTTTTTCGAAACAAAGAAACACGCCCTCACTTATATATATATATATATTGACGTCGTATTAAAAGATGAAGCATACTTTGGAATGTAACTGAGGCTGCCTCCTCTTTTACTCTTTAAATTTGGAGAGTAATGGATAATGGATTAATTATCATTTTTCAACGAATTTTAAATTTCGTATTAAGTGCAGAGAATAACTTGACTGTACTATAAAAATTTAAAAATGTGAAATCATTCATATTTTGAAAAGGGCCTGACTAGCTTTAACCATGTACAGGTGCCATCACCCTATTGACTAAAATTTCTATCATAAGGCAAAAGTTCAAATACACAAACATCCTCCCCAAGACAGCGCTTTCCGAGCGTGACATACTAATGCACAGAAATCTAATCTAACTTTCTTCCTGCTGTTTTGGTCAAAGAACAGATGTTCACCCTAATTATGCAGTACTATGCCCGCGACTTCGCCCGCCTGGAATTTAAATAAAAAAATGAAATTTCTAAAATAAAAGCAGCCTAAGTTATTCCTTACTATGTCAGGTTCACTTGATGCTGACTTGATGTTGCTGCCGCCCATGGGTGTGGCCATCGATTTCATTACACAAAAGGCGAAACGCAAAATTTAATAAATCCAAATCCGACCCTGTACAGTCGTGCAGCGGAACTGCGGCATAGCCCACCCAAATACAGTAAACACTGCAGGTTTAACTGATTTTGCGATATCATCCGAAAATTCGAGAAAAGATGGCGGTGAATTCCATTTTTGAAATATTGTCAGCGAGAGTACATATTGCCGTTATCTCTATCCGAAGAAGAATACAATGCTTTGTTAGGAATATTTTGAATGCTTCAATATTTCAGAATGACAGTGTGTAGTGTACCTGCCTCCTGCGCTAGAGGGTGTGGGTTCCATCCGCACTACTGGAAAATTATTGTGTGATGAACATACTCGTATATATGTATAATATGTAATTATTTACAAAAGAAAAGTATGTTTAGGTATGTTTATCGGTTATCTAGTACCCATAGTAAAAGCGTTACTTACTTTGGGACTAGAGAACGTTGTGTAAAAATGTGTCCTAATATATTTATATATTATTGTTGTTCTATAATATCTAATGCACACGGAACGAGTTTGATCTTTAAGTGACATAAAAAACATTTTTTATTTAAAGAAGTATTTTATTTCAATAAAAACATGGCAATCAAATCAAAAAATCAGTTATTTTACATATTGTTGTTGGTAAACGTTTTTATTTGTTACATTTAGAAAACATTTAAGATAAGCGTATTTTATTATACTATAATAGTTTATATATATTTTTAATGAATTTTATATAAGTACAGACATGTTTATAAATATTCATAATCATAGCAAATGGAGGTATTATAATGGCGAATAAAAGCTTACCATACAAAATAAGTTCATCTCATAATAATTGGTCGGACGTTATTCTTTGGCACGTTAACTTGCATTGTCAAATTATAACTCAATTTGAGTACAAAATACGTACCTAAACATCAATCTGTTATGTATCTTTATAAATTCATTTTAAACGACCTAATGTTGGTACAAAAGCGTAGAAAATTATCTTATTCTATGAAAAATACTAATCGCAAATATTAAACAAGTCGTTGTTTCTACTATCTACTAAGATTGTTTTAAATCATGTAACATTTTTATCTTTCCATACATTGAGCAAGCTAATGAATTCTCTCAAATATTTCATAGCAGAATACGAAAACACACAAATTACCTACATAATTCGAATGAATTTAATGAGTCAGTCGCATTTTTAACAATAGCATTGGCACAAATATACAAGTTACCTTATAAAGGCCCATTTACACGGTGCCAGTTTCTTGCCTGTTGTATACAATTAAATTGAAGCAATAAATAAGTTGCATGGTCTAAACAACAAATGGTCTAACCAATTATTGCGCGCAATTTATTGCATTCAATTATTGCTCTTGCATGTACAAGAAAATGGCATCGTGTAAATGGGCCTTAACTCTTAAATATACTGATGGTTTTTATTTAATAAATAGATCTCTACTGTCTGATTTATACTATAATTAAAACTATAGCATTATGATTCCACAATTAACAATTAACAAGATATCTAATATTGATTATTTAGATTTGTTAATAATATATTTAATTTATCTAGACATCGATCCCACACTTCACAATTCTTCGAGATTTTTGTAAACAGTAAAATTAGTGCATAGAATTTTTAAAGAACGTCTTTTCTTTCATGGTTAGAAAACCAATAAAATTATATTTTTCGTCCCCTTGAACTGTTATAAATAATCAGTAGTATACTAAACTCAACGAACTTCCATTTTTGTTACATCGATTTTAAAATTATTGGAAGATCCCAGTTTTACTAAAAACTAGTTTTAATAAATACGAAAGATTCTAGAAATGTTGACCTTGTTGACTGGACTCCACTATTGTTATAAAAGATCACAATAGATTTAGAATAAGAATCCCTTCATTGCAAATATGTTCTATTGAATGTACTACCGTACATAAAAAATCTGATAAAGTATTATTTGAAAAATATAGGATTTCCTCTTATTGCTGCTAGCAAATGCTGCTTCTTTGGAAAAGAGTTTTTATGTTTTTTAAAAAATTACTAGAAATTTTTTGTAATAAAATTGACGTTATCGCAAGGGGATAATATTGGGGGCCGGTAACGGGGTGGAAGCTTGGCTTGCAGGTGATAAGATGATCGCTGGCGGTTTGTGGGGGGACTTTACCCTTCGCGCGGGGACCGTTGCGGCCTTCCGGGAAGGGGACATTGGCCCCCTTCTGCGGGGGGACGTGGGCGACAGGGGCAGCCTGCCCGGGGCGTAGCCTGCCGACCGGCGTTTAGGGGAGGTAGGGGACAGCGGGGATCTTGGGCCCGGCGAGGTGTAATACGCGAAGGTCCTGCGACTCGGCGATGTGGGGGACATCGGCAGTCTGCTTGGAGATGTTGGCAACAGTTCGGGGGAGGCAGGGGAGAACGCGGGCACCCCACGAGCAGGGGACGCAGGGGAGGTGGGGAACACCGTGTCCTGTGGCACGGAGCGGCAAAGAAGGGCCATCGCTGTCGCACTGTCGCGAACGCCTGGAAAGGTTTCACAAAACTTTTTTTATTAATTTGAATCAATAGTTAACATAACATATTTTTAGGGATTTAATTTCAGTCTTAACAGCAATAAAAATGTATGAAATATTATAAGGTTTCGGTAGTTTGTTGGGTTTTGCAATCGAAACATCCAAAATATGAATTGGAATTAAGCGCAAAAAGCTCTGGTAAAACGGTTTCATTTAATAATATGTATGTATACAGGTTAAAATGTAGAGTACAGTACGGTTATTCCCCTGTATATCATTGGGGTAAGCTGAAGACTTACCTGGCTGTACAGGGTAGGCAGCGGGGGACACTGGCGGTGGCGGGGGACGAACGGAGTGCACCTCTTGGAACTCTTGGTGCGAAAGCTCTGCGAGAAATAGACTCTTCTGGATGTTCTTCTTCATTATGTATTTAACTATGGGCGGTTCAGTCTGATACGAAATTGAATATGGTTCTCGGCAGCTTATGCTGTTGCACGCATGGGCAGGCTCGTTCGGGGAATTACCGCGGCCTCACAGAAGACCGACGTGGAATTATAATACTTTCGCGTTTCGTCTGATGAGTGAGGTAACCGAGACCTAATTCTCTTAAAGGTTGACATTACATCTGCACCTCTCAGATGTAATACACGTTCCGGGGCGGTTATCAATTAACATTACGTGGTCCCCTTGCTCCTTTACTAACTTTTTACATAAAGTAGTAACTTTTTTATTCATAAAAAATACTAAAAACTTCCGTAAAATATTATATAAATAAATATTTCTGGGGATATTTTTACACGACACTAGTCTCAGACTACGCAAAGCTTGTATTATACGTACTGGATAACTGATAAGCATAAATTACCATAAAAGTACACAAATTGCAGATATACATATAGCGACCGTGGCAATACCAACCAACAGTCTTCGCTGTTGCACGAATAGGCAGCTCCGTCCGGGGAAGTACCACGACCTCACAGAAGACCGGCGTGAAGTTGTAGCGCTATACTTCTGCGTTTCGTCTGATGGTTGAGGTAGCCGGAGCCACTTTATTGCAAGGTGTTGCAAATGTCAATGGGTGGCGGTTATCGCTTAACATCAGATGAATCACCAGATCGCTTGCTACCTTCTCACGTATAAAAGCCTCCCCTTTCCTTCTCACCTTTGACTCTGCGCAGGCAGAAGTAGAGAAAGTAGCAGCAGACCAGCACGAGAAGTGCCAGCACGCCGCCCATCGCGACGAAGTACGCCGTGTGGCTGGGCACCTTGGTGGTGCCCGCGCCACGTGCACCCTCCACGCCCATTGTCTTCAACCTGTCACCAAAGGCACTAAAGTAACAGCCTATACATGTCCCACTGCTGGGCAAAGGCCTCCTCTGTACAGAGGGTATCAGGGCATAGTCCACCATGCGGCCCCACTGCGGATTGGCGGACTTCACATATTTTCGAAAAATATTTTTTTTTGTTATTATTTCGAAAATATGCAGGTTTCCTCACGATGTTTTCCTTCAACGCGGAGCACCTGATAAGTCAGCACTTAAAGTTAAAAACTTCATTGGTGCCGGGGATCGAACTCAGGTTGCTCGAGTATATAGAATTAAAGGCGAGGCGAGCTATCACGGCACTAGCAGGCATTAAACTGTTCTGCGTACAAAAGACGTCAAACTTAGGCGCGGATCTCGGGAAAGGGCCTATTATAGTGTCGAGAAATACATTGACAACAAGGATGTGTGGAAATGACCCTTGCTCTGCACTAGCAAGTCCCCAGGCTCCTGCTAAATTATATTAAAATACTTGTGTATATACTTAAATAATTTATAAAAAATATATAGGTATATATATGACCGCAGAGTTTCTTGCCGGTTCTTCTCTCGCAGGTCTAGTTTAGTGTACCGGTGGTAGTTTTCGACGTTCAATAAGGGCTTAAAATAAGCCTATGTTGAATAAAGAAATTTTGACTTTGACTTTCACTTTGAGAGATTCGCGGTTTCTTACAAATGCGGTAAAGAAAAATTCACCCCCGCCCTATGATGTTTCGCAGCATAAAGGGTTTTATTACTGGAAATTGCCTTCATTTTGAAGATTCCAGCCAACATACGTCATGCCTTGTCATGTCAGCCCGGAAATATGGAAGTCAAATAATTAATTTAAAAAAAATTAATCGACGAAAATACGAACCATGTACTTGGATGCCTTACTTACAGAATCTATTCTTGTGACCTCCATGGCTTCATTACGTGCTTTATTAAGGCATGAAGACAAACTGCTTAGTTTTATCAGGAGGCAATATTCATCGACCCATGTTTGCTTTAATTGAATAAAGTTCAGTTCAAAAGTAATGCTATCGCATAATGTGAAAAGTACGAGTAGCTTAATCCCGTTTGTGTTTTTAATTTATCTTTATGATTAGAAATAAAACTCACCTTTATAATGTACACGAAAGGTCAACTAACGGCCCCTCCTGTGTCTTTCCAACAGACTTCGCCTCCTCATGGCGTTATATTCTTAGAAATTCATCCGAAACACAACTCACACGATATTCATCTAAAACAACCCTTACTGAATATTCCGAAACAAAATTAACAAAACATCAGGCATCGAGATGATCCAAAACATCGTTCTCTGTTATCAATGCAAATAAATCCAAACAATCTATTTATTTTAAAATATATTCGCGTTATAATTTCACAATGTATATTCACTGTCGCGCAAATTTCCTGGTCCGATAACGTCGACGATGGAGCAACGGAGGCTGAATGTCGGATCGTGTCAAACGGTCACAAGTTCCGCATTGAGTAGAGCACAATGCGAGGCACGGTGTTCCACCCCTTAAGCTCTGAAGGGGATTCCGTTCCCGTGTGTGTAGCTGGAAAACGCTAAGACCAGTGTGCGTGCAGCCGAGACGCGGCAACAAGTGTGGCCGACATGAAGGCGCCAGCGCCGCCCCAGGGCTGAATTTCCTTGCTGTCTCACATTTTCTTTGATACATTTAAGCTTTAACATTAGTCGTACGATATTGGAAACTTGCGATTATCGCGTCGCTAAGAACAACTGCAAAACAGCACTAGACAAGTTCTATTATTTTTTCCTGTGTGGGAAGGTGGCACGCGAGCTGGAGCCTCACCTGATGTTAAATAATAACCACCGCCCATGGACATTTGCAACACTCGTAGGATTGCAGATGCGTTGCCACCTTTTAATAAATTGGGCCCCGGCTACCTCACTCAACAGACGAAACGCAGAATGACACTTTCACTTCACGTTGGTCTTCTGACGAATAACGAAAGGTTTGACTGCTGATGACATCCCTCTAAATTCCATTATGGCTTCTAAGATCATCCAAACCGAAATAGCATGCCCTAAAATTCCATTATGGGTGCTATTGATTTGCGTACAACTCGAATACAACGAAACCTGTAACCAAAGTTTAAGTTTGAAGTTAATTCCAAGTAAGCTATCGAGCCGTGATAGCTCAGTGTCCGGGCGCTCGCCTTTAATTCAATATACTCGAGCAACCTGAGTTCGATCCCCAGTGCCGGCACCAATGAAGTTTTTAACTTTAAGTGCTGATTTATCACGTGCTCCGCGGTGAAGAAAATATCGTGAGGAAACCTGCATATTTTCGAAATAATAACAAAAAAATATTTCGAAGATATGTGAAGTCCGCCAATCCGCAGTGGGGCCGCGTGGTGGACTATGCCCTGATACCCTCTGTATAGAGGAGGCCTTTGCCCAGCAGTGGGACATGTATAGGCTGTTACTTTAAAGCTATCGTCCGACTGGGTAATTAACGGTGGTAGGGCCACGCAGCAGCCTCGGTTGTTGCACGAATGGGCAGGCTCGTCTGGGTAAGTACCACGACCTCACAGAAGACCGGCGTGAAGTGGAACACAAAGAAATTCGAAGATATATTATGTGAAGTCATGAATATTTTTTGTACATTATGCCATTTTATTCTATAGTTTTTGTTTTTGCTATTTTTAACACGCTTATATGTATTAGTTTCACCTGTATGTATGTATGTATGTATGTTAAGGAATTTTTCACTGTGATTTTGCCCCACTTTGAACGTTCAGACTGGAATCAAACGAGTGTGCAATCGTCAAAGACCCATGACAATGCAATAATTTAATAGTTTTTCCCATTATCCTGATCAGGACTTTCATAATTAGTTATTTTCGAAATCCGATACCCGATAGTGTCCTTGTGCCAACTATGCATTTAAAAATGTTTAAAAAATATAAACGCACTTTTAAGTACAAAAGCATTAAAAGATAGGTATAGCAGAACCAAAAAATAGAAAATAAACAATATTTCAAAAAAAAAACTTAAAAAACAGGCGTTTCTAAATAACCGAATATTGCGTAGGTATTTATTATATAATCTATTATATAGATTTGACTGGTTTTTGTGGAAAAATATTATAGAAAAGTACTTCATTGAAATAGTCCATAAGAAATATGACACAACCCTAATAAGGCGCCGGGACGGCGGCGACGGCGAATCATTGACCCTAGATGAAATTCGCAAGTCTCAGCCCTACGCAAATTGTAAAAAAGCAAACTGTACCGGGTGTATGAGGTTTCTTAATTCTACTGATTTAAGCAAACCATAGAGGTCCGAGAAATATGGTAAAATAAAGATTTTCATCTATTATTTATTATCAACAACTTACAAACTTTAAATCAACACATCTAACCCATATCACAAAATATTATAGCTTAGAATAAATCGCTAATTTATGGCTCTGAGTGCCGTCTTTTGTTTGATTTTAAAATAATATATTTAGAGATTATAAATGTGATAATTAACTTTATCATATTTTTATTTGCTAAGTAAAGTTTCAACTTAAAATATATATAGCATCACAATATATAGTATTAATCGAAATTAAGTTTTATGAAGAAATTGTCAGTAATATACAATTAACAAGACGTATATGATGAACGAAGTGCTTTGTGAGGCAATTTGGCAACGCAGAAGCATTCGCAGGACCTTGGGTTTGGCCCGCAAATTAATGTTTTAACGCAAATTCCAGAAAACGGAGCTAATGCTGCTATTTGTCGCTTTCATATCGTGTTGTAGTTTGGTTGTTGGATTTTTTTTATGCGAAATGTTGCCAAACGAGCACCTGATGTTAAGTGAATACCGCCGCCCATGGACATCTGCTACACCCTAGGGTTACAGATGCGTTGACAATCTTTTGGAAATTGGGCTCCGGCCACCTCACTCACGAAAGTATTATACTTCCACTTTACGCCGATCTTCTGTGAGGTCGTGGTACTTACCCGGAACGGTCTGCCCATTCGTGCAACAGCCGAGTCTGCTGCGTGACCCAATCACCGTTAAAAATGGATTGTTTAATCGTACGTATATATATGGTTGTTTGTGCAGAAAGCAACGGGAAACTACTGCACTATTCTCCCAAGAAAACCATGAACAATGTCCATAATAGATGTGGGATGTCATGTGATCCGACTGACGCTCGGCGCCATTGCAATTCCGGGTTGCAAGGTGGGATGTGTTTCCGGCCACTTATCTGTGAACCTCCAGGCGGTAAGTGGACACTATGCTACTGGTCAAGGTGCGTGCATTAAACAAAACTCATTACGTAAACATCTTCGCATGGGGACTTGGAATGCCAGAGGACTTCTTGAACAGGGGAAGTTAGAAGTTGTAGAGAAGGAGATGGACAGGTGCAAAATTGACATCTTGGGGCTCAGTGAAGTACATTTACGAGGCAGCGGTCATTTAACTACCGATAGCGGCAATACTATGTATTATATTGGTGCTGACGATCACAGTGGTAATGGAGTTGCTTTTATTATACCTAAAAAACTACAGAATAGCGTCAAAGGACATACAGCTCCAAACGATAGAATGATAGCCATTAAACTTGATGCTAGCCCTGTACCAATTAATATCATTCAAGTATATGCGCCTACTTCACAGTCCGAAGAGGAGTTTGGATAAAGTATTAAAACATGTAGTGCAGAGATTAGCACTATAAAAAAACTTTAAAATTTATAAAAAAAATGGATAAAGTAAATAAAAAAAAAGTAAAGTAACAGCCAATACACGTCCCACTGCTGGGCAAAGGCCTCCTCTATACAGAGGGTATCAGGGCATAGTCCACCACGCGGCCCCACTGCGGATTGGCCGACTTCACATATCTTCGAAATATATTTTTTTGTTAAAATATGCAGGTTTCCTCACGATGTTTTCCTTCACCGCGGAGCACGTGATAAGTCAGCACTTAAAGTTAAAAACGTCATTGGTGCCGCCACCGGGGATCGAAGTCAGG